ACCTCAGCGTGAGTCATGTGCTTTGTATTCTTGGCTCTCTGTATCAAGTTCTACATCAGATCTAACCACGGATCAATGGAGGAATAGTTTAAACAAAAGTCTGAATGTGTGAAGATAATTTCCTGTCATTCCATAAACAATACAGTAAAATTCCTCTTCATAGAGCATGACAATGCATTTGTTATTATAAGTCGTTTAAAGTATGCAGGATGACCAAGGTAGATGGGGGATATTTGCAGGTTAAATGTAAATACTTTGCAGTTATTACATTTATCATTTATGTATGTGTTTGTGTGTTATATGTGCTTGTGTTTGTGTGTGTTTGTATGTGCGTGTGTGCGCATGTGTGTGTGTACAAGCGCATGTGCATATGTGGACAGTGAGTGCCATGACACGCATACATGTGTGTGAAGATCAGAGAACAACTTTCAGGACTTGGTTTCTGCTTCCAGCATGTGGGTCCCTGGAATCGAACTCAGATCCTTGGTCTTGACAAGTGCTCTTATCCTTGGAACCATCTTGCCAGTCCATTTTGCAATTTTTTTATAAGGGACTTACAGACCCCCAATTTTGGTCCTTCACCCAATCTCCAGTAGGCAACTACATTCAATATCCAACTGTGGTTACCCATGGTTCATTTGCTTAATATTAGATTATCTAAACTTTAATTTTACTCCCTATTAATAAACCGTGCCAGTAAGGGGTTGTCTGGCTTCCTACATTCTACTGCTGTAGCAGTGTCCTGTTTGAGTCAGATAGTAGTTTGTAAGGTCCCTGCAAATAAGTCTAGCATTTTCATCCTGGGCATATCCCTTCTCTTAGCAAAGGGTGGGGCCAAGAGAGTGGATGACTCGGGGAGTCCATCAGAAGGAGGACAAGGGGATCAAGTGACAGTCCTGGGGACATAGCTACATGACATTTTCATCCAAGAAGAAAATCTCTTGCTGCCTCTAACTTGCTTGCAGGTCGTTGGAATTCTCTAAGGAAAAAACTCACTCCCACCCCACCGGCCTCGATCTGATACCAAACTCACACTTAAAGCTCTGGGTCTTGTTTCTTGTCATTTGAATGTAAATGTAAACCTCTCTTCTTAGGCAGCAGGAAAACCCAGATATCTCATTATAAGTGTGCATTGAATTTCTCTAGATCCTAAAATTACTCAACAAGATTGCTTAACAACTTTGCCCCAAGGCTAGTTGGAGTGAACCAAGAACAAAAGCTTAGATTTATCTCTGAGAAAAGCAACTAACTTCATAGCTAGGCTCACTGTTTCTTAAAGGAGGGTGCCCCAACACTCTGAGCTGGTACCAAGGTTGTTCCTATATCCTCCTGGCAGGAATGAACAGACTTTTAAAAGACACTTTTTAGTTACCTCTTACCTTCTATGTAAACGTAAGCATCATATGAAGCCCCCCACCCCTGAAGACTGATGTGGAAGGTAAAAAGCAGAGTGTCATTCGGCTCCTTTGTTCCTTTGGCCACATTGGATAAATCCACTTTTTCTGCTTTTGACTTTTGGCTTATTAAGTATGAGTGGTCCAGTCCACCTTGTTAGGGCTGTCAGAGCCCCAGCTCTGACCCTCCGAACCCCTGAACTTTCCTTGGGAACCTCCAGGTCATAGCGCCTGGGAAGCTGTGCCAGGCCAGGAGCCTTGATTGGACGTACACTTTCAGGAATAGTACATTTGGCTCTTGCTTCCTGCTTCTTCCCATCCTCCCCTAAGACCTCACCACCCTCTCTTCTCTCTGTACACTTTATCTTAGTCATTGTTACTCTGGCCGGGTACGGTGTAATCCCAGCACTTGGGAAGAAGGAAGCGCGTGACATCAGCGTGGGCTACACAATGCACTCAAGGCCACTCTGGGTGACCCAGCCAGACCCTGTCCCAGCAAACAAACCAACAGGGCTGTGCAGATATCTCCGTCAGTAAAGTACTTGCTGTGCATCCATGAGCACCTGAGTTTATCCTCACAACCCATATGCAAAGCCAAGCACGGCAGTGCACACTTGTAACACCAGTGCTGGAGAGGTAGAGGCCGGCAGGTCCTTGCTGGGGCTTGCTGGCTGGCCAGCCATAACCAAATAGGTCAGCGGGAAAGACACCGTCTCAACAAAAGAACAAAGTGGATGGTGTCCTGAGGAATAGCACTCAAGGTGGACCCCTGGCCTCCACATGAACACACACACAGCCACATACACTCATAAACACACACACAAGAAAAGAAAAGAACAGCCAAGAAAACAGTAAACATTTGCTCTGGGTATAGCTTTAGAAGAAATTAATCCTTTCTGGGTCTCATTTTTTTCCCAGCCCCTGTAGGTACACCTACGATGCAATCCCTACACGTAAGGCTCTGGGAAAACTGAAGAAGAGAGGGCAAAAAGATTGTAAGAGTCAGAGGAAACCTGCTGCAGAGAGTGTCTTCTAAACATGGTGGGGCAGCCGCATCATGAAGTCTCAGCAGTGTGGTTGCCTAGACAAGACTTGCACAACGCAGCACCAGAAGGCAGGCCAGATGGGTAAGGGATATTTCACAAAGCCCCACACCTAACAACTGGCGGCTGCCAAGAGAGGATGATCAGGTTTTTTCAAGAATGAGTTCCCTGATGTTTCCAAGTGGTCAAATCTAAACATATGCACATACAAGCAACATTAAATGGACTCAATAGGATGGATGGATAAATAGATAGATGATAGATAGATAGATAAATAATAGACAGATAATAGATAAATAGATGATAGAAAATAGGTTTATAGGTTTATAGATGTATAAAACAGTATTAATTTATGAAGAGATTATGAATTTAAAAGGAATAGCATGGGAGGACTTGTAGAGGGGAAGGAATGAGAAATGATCTAAATACAGTGTTCATGTACGAAATTATCAAGAAAATAAAATTTTTAATTCAAAAATTTATAAATTCAAAATATCACTTCCCATTTTTAAATTCTGTTGTAAGTAATCCATATTTTATCATATTTACTCATCATAATGTATGTTCATAACCATCCTGGAACTGGGGAGAGATCATTATAAAGTATCCTAAATAGTTTGGAGACATTCAGGCTTTGGAAGATGAGACTTTATTGGTTGTAGTATTAAGGCAACTCCACATAGTTAAAAGAGAAGTTTATTTTGTGAGGTGACTTACAAATAAAGGGATAGGTTACAGGGTCCGGGAAAGGTGTAGCAGCAGTGTTCCCTGGAGAACTCTGCTCGATCTACCTCCAGCATCCAGGATACAGGAACCAAGAGAGCCGGCACATCTGGATCTCAGGTCTTAAAGGCTCCTCTCTCAGCCCCACCTTGTAGGTGTGACAGTTACCGAAGCCTCAATGAGGGTAGTACTTCCAGGTCAAAGCTGGAACAGCTACCCACTGCAAGACCTCTTTAATGTGCTCCAACTCTTTTGGTTAAGAAATTACATCTTATTTTTAACACTGTAGCTGAAATTCGGTGACAATTTTTATTTCCCACTATTATTCTAAGATCATGCATATGACTTTTTATAATAGTTGTTTTGTTTTGTTTTTTTTTTTGAGACAGGGTTATACTTTGTAGCCCTGGCTGTCCTAGAGCTCGCTATGTAGGACAGATGGCCTCAGATTCACAGAGAATGCCTGCCTCTGCCTCTTGAGTGCTGGAATTAAAGGTGTTCACCCACCATGCTTGGCTTTAAATAATAATTTTTAAATACTGCCATTTTTCCAGTCAATAAAATCAATGAATTTGCCTTCATTTATCCTCATTGGTGTTTTCTCTATCCTTAGGTATGAGGTCTGTAGACAGGAACATGTCTGTTTCAATGGCGTCTAGGACTGGTCTGCATATGTGGACATGAAGGACACCGGCCTAGGAGGAAGAGAACAGAGGCTGATGCCGGGTGTTATTCTAAGGGCTGTAGATGGAACCAACTGATTCGTTCCTCATGAGGTCTTATTAGTACTCCCACTTTTCAGGTCAGGACAGTAACTGACTTGTAATAGTCACAAAGCTCGGAGGTAGCACCTTGGTCTCTAATCATTTCTGCAACTGACCAGCTTCCTCAAATAAGGCTCATATTCTCTACAGATGCAGCTTCTCAAAGTTAAATCATAATACGGCAAAAAATGAGAACTAAATCCTTTTATTAACCATCAGGACTTTCCAATCACCATGTTAGCCTTTTGGCAAATGGATTTCATAACATGGAGAACATTTTTAATTCTCCTATGGAATTAGAAATGCCAAAAGTAGCCAGGCAGTGCTGGAGCCGGCCTTTAATCCCAGCACTCCATAGTCAGAGGCTGGAGACCTTTGAGTTCGAGGCCAGCCTAGTGTATAGAGCAAGTTCCAGGACAGCCAGGGCTACACAGAGAAATTCTGTCTTGAAAAATGAAAGAGAAAAAAAAAATGCCAAAAGTACCTGTAATCTATGGTTATGAGCAATTCAAACTTGAAAGTGAGTCTCACTCTGAGTAAAGAACTGAAATAAAAATTAGCCATAATCCCATCACTCAAAAACCACTGCTCAACACATTGGTGTATTTCCTTCTGTTTTCTTTCCTACTTAAAAATACAAAAAAAATAAAATAAAATAAAATAAAAACAAAAAACAACCATAGCTGGGCGGTGGTGGCACACACTTTTAATCCCAGCAGAGTCAGGCAGATCTCTGTGAGTTCGAGGCCAGCCTGGGCTACAGAGTGAGTTCCAGGAGAGGTGCCAAAGCTACACAGAGAAACCCTGTCTCGAAAGAGAAAAAAAAAATAAATAGGCTCTGTTTGAAAAGTTTTTATTTAGACCACTTCTTTAAAAAATTTGTTCCCAAGCCGGGCGGTGGTGGCGCACGCCTTTAATCCCAGCACTCGGGAGGCAGAGCCAGGCGGATCTCTGTGAGTTCGAGGCCAGCCTGGACTACCAAGTGAGTTCCAGGAAAGGCGCAAAGCTACACAGAGAAACCCTGTCTCGAAAAACCAAAAAAAAAAAAAAAAAAAAAAAAAAATTTGTTCCTTCATTCCTGGCAGGGAGGAGGAGAAGGAATTCTATTGTCTCTCCATTGTCCTATAATGTACTCACATCCTTCCAAGGTAGTCAAGTCATTGACAGAAAAATCAAGTGAAGCATTATCCACCCTCCTGTTTCTTTTCTTAATTGGAAGACATTCTCTAGTTAAAAGTATAGGTTAACAACGCCCTCGTTCATTAGCATCTGTCCTCTTATTTCCAATGACAGCTCTTCTCAGCCATTATCTTCCCAAAGTGTCTGCTGTGAGAGGACGGTTCTCAGACCTCTCTCAGCCCTGCTCTGCATCTCTGTTAGCAGGCTGGAGTTGGATATTCGTTTAATGATCAACAGAAGCGTCTGTCCCTACCACTGAGATTTTCAGAGAGTAGAATAACCAGGTCAATGTTTAACTGCATTCTTTAGTTCTGGAATGGCAAAGTAGAAGTTGAAGGGAAGTCTCCATGGAAACCAGCCTCCCAGGAAGTGGCCAGAGAAGTTAGTGTCGGGGGACAGAACTGGAAAGATGTCATGAAGGAAACACCTGTTTTGGTAAGCTGAGGTAAACTCCTGAAACTACTGAACTAAATCACTCTCCATAAAGGCCCTCCACGACTCCCCTCCATCATGATTTTCTTCTGAATATCTTCAAGGAAAATGGGCCTGGGCCACTCCAAGCCTCACCCTCGGGTGATCAAAGTCACACCTTTACAAAGTCAAGAAGCAGAGATTCCCTCAGCTGGCCCTGTGTTCTATGCATTAAATCGGAACCTAGAAGAAAAGAGCTCATACCCATTCTCGAGACTGCAAGGTCAAAAGCAAGCTCTGGAAGGACTGCTACCACCTCTTCGAGAAACCTTGTATGGAAGACATCCTGCAGGTATACCACAAACAAACATGAGATATGCATGTCTGGGACTCAGGAGAACTGCGGTACATTTACCTGTCTCCGTGATCTCTGAAAGCTTAGATGATTGAGATGCAGGAGAATGTTTTTTAGGGAGGACTGAATGTTTGCTGAATGACTTCCAGTGCGTTTGAATGCTTGTGTCGATTCCAGATTTAAAAAAAAAAACAAAAACAAAAAAACTTTTAAATAAGAAGGAAAGCAGTCTGGTTTCAGCTTAGTCTGGAGTGATTTCAGTGCGTGTGTCTACCTCCATTAAGCCACTGAGATCACACAGATGTGACAGACGGTGGCAACTGTGCTACACTTGGGTTCTGAATTTAAGTCATTATCTCCAGAGAGACTGAATGCATCAGGCTTTGTAATTTTGAGAGTAGCACGTTAGGAGTAAACCTCTCCCGTGTGAATTTTGAAACCAGCCCAAACAAAATGAATTTACTACATGAGAGAGAGTAGATGAGTCACCTTCCCGAACCCCATGTTCTTTAGGATTGTCACAGAATTAAGGGAATTTTTCCCACGGGGGGGGGGGGAGGCTCTGAGCCTGAAATGGTTGCAGGTTGTTTGTGGATATTTTTTATGACATGTAAAATGTTTTCTGGTGACAATCGTGATAACTAAACAGATGTGCTAACTTGGGATGAAAAAATTCATGTTGATGTGTGTCATCTGGCACACAGTCCATATATTTGAATCAGCTTTTCTCTTCTTCGCATTCCACATCAGTAACAAAACTGGGCTCCCCTTCCCAGATGACTCTGTCTAAATACCTTGTATGTCTTTAGCTACCAGATCTTCCCAGGGAGGTTTTCATGGTTACTTTCTGTACAGGTAAAATATTGAATACTGTTGACTGATACAGCTTTTTTAATGTTCTTCATTATTCATTATGAATGATAATTTCCTTCTTAATGACATTGACTCCCTTTTTTTGGTTGCTTTGGTTTTTAGTTTGCTGTCAATGTCTCACTATATAACCCTGGGTTGGCCTTGAATTCTCCATGTAGCCTAGACCGGCTTTGAACTCACAGAGTCCTGCCTGCCTTTGCCTCACAAGTGCTAGGATTAAAGGCATGCAGTTTTATCCTCTTCTGAGTTCTAAGGTTTTGGTAACTAGGTGGCAAACGCTGATTTGGGTACTTTGGAGTCCCAACTGAAAAACGATATTTGAAAGACAAAAGTCACATTCATTGTAAATAACAAGGGATGGAGAACATTCTCTATAAATACTGACTGCACCAAAAGCATTCTGAGAGCTGGTTTTAGGGGCCCATGTTCTAGCCCCATCCCCACTAAATACATCACACAACCTTAGACAAGTTACTTATCAGTTTTGTTTGCCTGTGTTCAGAAGTAGAAGTCAATGTCTGGGACAGCCTTTGCCCTATGGGGCAGTCCAACTAAAAACAGGATGATATCACTCACATCATATAAAGGTGAGGAGTACTGAAGTTTCTAGGGGGAAAAAAATGCTTTAAACAATTTAGATTTTAAAACCCGATTGATGGTGGTAGAGTTTCTCTGTCCTGCTCAATGTCTGCCATAATCTGAAAGAAAGAAAAAAAGTTCACAGATTTCATTCTCTTGAAAGCTGGAGACGGCAAAGCTTTACAGAGGCCACTGAAATGTCTTAAGAAAGCAGCGTAAGTGTCAGAATGTGTTCTGACTGTTCTAAGAGAAGACTGAGGGCACCGTGCAGTTTGGGCCCGGCAGCACTCTTGAGTGGCCCGGTGAATCAAGCCGGACACAGCACGTATGAGGAGGGGCTCACCGTCTGATTCTCAGCAGGAGCAGCTCTGTAGCCCTGGCTTGTTGTATAGGGAAGGAAGAGTGGCATGTTGTAGCCCACAGCAAACTGGGGACTGTCCCCTGTTAATTTCCTATTTACCTGAAAAGATAATGTATTTTCATTTCTTAAAGTATTTTTTTTTCTGATTTCCTTTATTGTGGGGGAGATTCCATGGTATTTAACTAGTGGGTTGGAGACAGAGCTCAAAGGTAGAGCTGAGTCTAGTATATGTGAAACCCTGGATATTTGATCTCCAATACAGGGAGTGTGGGGGAGTCATAAGACTAATTACAAGGTTTCTGTTTTCTAAGCTAAATTCTGTGTTTGAGTAACACCTGTGGGCACTACATAGCTAATTTTGCAACTTTTTTTTTTTTAAATCAACCTGGGGGATGGGATGAGAAATGAAGAAAGCAGACTAAAACGTTCACTTACATTCATGTAAGGACCCTGCTTTACATGTCTGTTGTAGGATATTTGTACACTGTGTGAAAATGTATTGCTGTGACTGGTGTAATAAAAAGCTGAATGGCCAATAGTTAGGCAGGAGATATAGGCGGGACTTCCGGGCAGAGAGAGAACTCTGGGAAGAAGGCAGAGTCGCCAGACAGACATGGAGAAGAGACAGGAGGTACAAGATGAAAGAGAGGTAATGCCACGTGGCAGAACATAGATTTTAAAATATGGCTTAATTTAAGTTATAAGAGCTAGTTGAGACAAGCCTAAGCTAAAGGCCAATCTTTCATAATTAATAGTAAATCGATTGGGTCATTATTTGCTGGCTGGCAGTCCAAGGATAGTCCAAAAAGGAAGCATGCTACATGTGTCTCATCTTTGCATTTGACCAGTGAGTTAGGCATGTGTAAGTGAGGATACAAAATTATGTAGATGACGACCACTAAACAGTGATCAGCCTGGATACTGAATTTGACAATAAATTGATTCTAATGATTTATTATTGCGTCCCTCCATCCTTCAAGTATCCAGGCCCATGTATCTTGACATCCCACTGAAAAATGAAGAATCAAGCATTATCAAAAGGCACCCACCCCGAAGAATTCAAGTAAGATGAATTTAAAAGTCTTCTTAAGGAACTTTTTTGCATTAATGCTAATATCTTTTTATCTGTAATCATAAAAGAACCTTAAATACCTCGTTAATGGAAATGCTGTTGCAAAGAATGTTGACAGTTGCAAAGACCATAGTATTAGAATTTCCTTTAGCAACTGATGTCACTTTTGAGGCTCACTACCAAAAAAATATGCTAACAAGGATTTAGTTACATATTTAAAGGACCCAAATCTGGCATTTAGTTGAGAGAGTATTTGAAAATCACAACAACTACCACTTCTATTCAAGTCAAACAACGTATTAGGCTCCTTGATCTTTGTCATTCATCTAGTCCTTTAGCCCAACATAAGAAAATGTCATCTTTGTTTTCTACATATGGTTCAGAGTGAAGGAACCTGCCAAAAGACCCACTGGAGCTGTTAGCCAGGTCTCTGATACTTCTAACCATCAGTGTAAGAAACCTCTAACTCCCCTGACTCCATCCTTTAAACATCCTAGATGCTACAAGCAGTTGTTGAAATTAGGGAGACTGGGGTCAGATATGGTGGTGAACGCCTTTAAACCTAACACCCAGGAGGCAGATGCAAGCAGATCTCTGTGAGTTCAAGGCCAGCCAGGACTACATCCTAAGACCCTGTCTAAAAGAGAAGAAACAGAGGGGAATTAGGGACATTGGAGGAAGAATTTTTTATGCATAGCATAAATTCTAATAAGATATCTCATCCTAGAAAGGGAAAGAGATCAGAGTGAGTTCTTGGAAATGAACATCAGACAGCAGAAAGCATGGGGCTCTCTGTGAGCAGAGAAAAGGAACCAGCCAAACCCTGCCTGCTACACAATTCACCTAGATGCTCAGACCAGTTCCGGGGCTAATGGAGCTCTTTGTTGAAGACTGTTTCTGTTTCAGCCTGGCATTATTTACTTGTCTTCTTTGGAAGCTCAAAATTACTACTCAAAGTGATTATTATTTTTAGTTCCAAAAGAGCATTTCTTGTAAAATATTAGATAGTGCAAAAATATTTAGTTCAAGAAAAATAAAGGGTAAATGTAATAAGTCCATGTCTAATATAAAACTGCAAGCACATCTCTAGCTTAGCTGAGCCACCCTAAAGCTGACTTTATTCTTAAACTAAATGTGTTCCTTCAAAGGAGTATTATTATATGTCCCTGTGAAGCCCTGATACTGGTTAGCTCAAACAGAAGAAATCACTACAACCAGAGAAATATATCTGTGTTGCACCCTCTAGTCCACAGAATAATTTTAATACTTACCAACTCTAAATAAGTTACAGTTAGGTTTTGATTCCCCCAAGTTCAAAAAAAGGACTTGGAGATTGCAGAGTCTGGCACTATTCTCCATACAGCAGCAAAGCACCGTAAGAATAAAGAATCAAGGCACTTTATCTGATTGCAAAGACTAGGCTTTATGCAATCTTACGTCTTCAGCCACTGACATGGGCCACACCAAAGTCTAGGAGTGAGTTAATGAAAGGAGGCTCATCCTGCTGGAGGGGAAGCACACTGAGTGTACAGATATCAGTGTGCTTCATTCTAAGGATATAGGGACATTTTTGTTGACCCCAAGAGCCAGGATACACTAGACTTAGCAAAGCTCTGGAAAGCAGAACTCTATGTCGTTCACTTGAGCTCTATACACCTGCCTTAATTTTCCCCAAAGATCAGCTTTCTCTGTTCCTCCGGCCACGCTAAACTTGAATCTTATATATCCAATCAAATGGACACAGTGGCCTGACCATGGCTGGGATTCCAGATTTCTGTGGAGGACAGATGTTATTGGCTCAGCTTTGCTGATGATGCTAGCTCTGATCCAATGAGTGGGAAGCGGAAGACATTATCGCACTGTAGAAACGTGGGCCGAGGAGTCATTCTGTAGGTTCTGGAGTCAGCTCCCAGAGAAAAGGGAAATCACCAGGAACTTGGCAGACACTCTCAAAGATATCATCTATAATTATCTTCACAAATGAGGCTCGGCACATTTTCCACCACAAATGGGTTTTTGAGAGAATAATAAATGCTGGGTTCCCATGACAGGCTAATTAATAGCCTGATCTCTGCCAAAGAAAATTCTAAAAGTATTTTTAATTATTAAACCAAACCTAATTGCATCCTAAATAATTTGAGTTGCCTATTTGGCGTTCTCCACTTCCTGAACATCTCTACTCCTCAAGCAGAGAGGACCTCTTCCTGGAGGTGAGAACTGAGCCTCTCTGCCTGGAGCTCTTTATCAATAGTGCACCCCCTACTCACACTGTGTAGAAGAGTTGAGCAGCAGCACCCCCTCTGGCCTGCCCACCTTCTCCTCTGACCATGCAGCCTAATAGGAATGCCCTCCCACTACACACACACACACACACACACACACACACACACACACACACACACACACAGCATTGGCCCACCTAATCCAGCTGGATAATTCTGAGTTCCAGAGATGTGTTCAAATTTCAGCATCTCTATAAGGTTCACCTGAACAACCTATTAACCATTGCAAACCCCATCCCAGCAGCCCTGATTCCCTCGGCCCTTCTCTATTCTCTTTCCCTGGACACTATTTTCCATCAAAGATATTGAGAATCCCTAATTTTAACATGTAAAATCCAAAATGCTCCAAAATCCAGTTATATCTGAACACTGACATTACCACAGGAGAAAAATTCCACACCTGATCTCGTGTACTGGTTTGCTACCCAAACAGCAAAAACACCATGTAAAATTACCTTCAGCTAGTGCACCTAGCAAACACATGAAACAAACTGTGTTTAACTTGGGTCCCATTCCCAAGACATCTCATTACATACATGCAAATACTTGAAAATCCAAAATAAAACCCCAAATTTGAAACACTACTACTAGTTCCAAGAATTTCAAGTAAGGGATACTCAGCATATATAATGTATGTTGTAGGATTTTGATAAGAGCTGGCAAAGTCCCCAAAGGAAACAGGTGGCACACTGAAATCATAGTAATTCGGGGAAGTTTTCTTTGTAACTATCCATGCAAAGAAGTTTGATTAAGAGGAACAGCCAAAGATATTGCAGAAACTGTTAGAGGTGGCTAATGGGTAACCAGGCCAAGGCAAGAGGAGAGATTTCTGGAGCCTGAAAGGAAAAACCAGGTAGAGAAAGCTGCATTGAGAACAAGAGTGAACCTCCATGGAGGGACAGTCCCCCATACCACCTTGTAAAGAGCTAGAAGCCCAAATACATGACCTCATCATCATCCCCTTCCCATTGGCTACATCCCAGAGGAAGCCGGAGGCAAGGGAGCTGGGCATGGGTACAGGCAAAGAACAGGGGGCTAGTGGGTGAGCAGATCTGGAGAGACCAACAGAAGATACCTGGCACCATGGCCTTCAATTTCAGGCATTTACCTCATGCTAAGACTTTATTACTGCTGAGTGTTAGATTTAATGGATTTTTGTCCTCATCTTTTAAAACAATCACATCCACCCACACACAGAGATGTCTTCCCACGCAAAAATAAACAACCCCATGAGCTTTCTTTTCCCTAGTTGATAGAGTGTGAATTTTATAATGCTGAACCACGCTTGCATTTCTGGAAGAAACCGGACTTGGTCCTAAAGTATCTAAGTGTACACATTGCTGAGCTGGATTTCCTAAGGCTTTATGTATCCGCTTTAATGAGTTGAGATGGATTTACACTTTTCTAATACACTTTTACAACAGCTTTGCCACCAAGATTGATTTAGTCTTGTAAAAGTAAGAGATTTCTCATTCTTCTTTTCCAAGACATTTATTATAGAGCAGGAATTCTCTATTCTCCTAATGTTTTGTAAAACATGCCTCCAGTACTATTTTTAGACTCTTGGACTTTTAAGGGAAGTGATCATTTTTCCTACTAGCTTAATTTCTTTATAGTTCTGCGTTTGACTTGGTTATCTTATTCTTGCTGGTTGTTTCTTGGAAATTATCCAGTTAACACAAAGCATTTGAATTTATTGCTATGAAGTTTTCTTCATATTCAACGCTTTGCTAAGTCTTATGAAATGAATCTTCCAACTTACAGTGTGAAGCGTGTGTGTGTGTGTGTGTGTGTGTGTGTGTGTGTGTGTGTGTGTGTGTGTGTGTTGGCTAAAGATTGGTGTTGGGTTTCTTCTTTAATCACCCTCCACTGTATTTATTGACAAGGAGTCTCTCCCTGAACCTGGAGTTCACCAATACAGAGTTCAGAAAGTTTGTCCTGAGAATCCCATTTCCAGTTCTCAAGGTCTCACACTTTTGTGATGAGCATTTTGTCCACTGAGCCATCTCCCCAGCCCCAGATACCTTATTTCACGTTTTCAGTGCTGAGAATTGAACCCACGGCCTCATACATGCTAAAAGAACATGCTTTACTACTCAGCTCTACCCCAGCCTTCCAGCTCTTCCATAAGTAGCAATGTGGATAACTCAGCCCCGATCTCAAGCTGTGAGCCTAGATCTCCCATGGAGCGTTTCCTGATCCCCTTTATCCAAGATAAATAACTCACAGACTTCACCTGCCCCAATGTCTTATGGATCAGCTCCCCACAAATGTTTGCATTTCTCTTCTGTTTTCTGATCTAGGGAAATATTTGCCTTGTACTGAAGCCAAATCGTGTCATGTTGGCTTTATTTTTTGTCTTTCGTGGACAACTGTTGGGAACAAAGAATGTTACTGAAACAAAACTGCATTGCAAGGACTTGATCAGAAATTCTTTCTCGGCCTTAAGTTGTCTTGGTGATCACCTACATAAAGCTGTCATAGGACACATTCTCCACTTCCCAGAGTCTAAAGACACACTCTTAAGTCATTGTGCCAAACAAATGGTACGCTTTCTTTGGGTTGCTCTGACCCACCTTCCTTTTCTTACTAATAAACAAAAGCAGCCTTTCCCAGGTTAGTGTTAATCACCAAGTGCAGATATTTGTGGTGCATGGATGGCTTATTTTCCATCCCCAAAGCCCTAGCACATACTCCAACTGATGATATTAATCACGTGTTGAACAGCCAAGTAATTCATACATCTTAAGACAAATAAGATATTTCCTAATATTAAAAATGAAAAAGTGCCACCCTTCCACTTCTCGAAGCAGTTCCTTCCAGCGTGTTTCCTCTGCAAGGGAAAAAGCAAGGAATCTCCCTTCCCCTGGAGGGCAAGGGATGTGCAAGAGAACCCAGGATTCTGAAAGTCACTCGGCTGGCATATTTCCCAACCATTTTTTCTGTACAACTTCTCGGGCCAAATCCTGTGTGGACAGCAGGCCACTTGCAATGTCGCTTGCTGCCATCTACTGGCTCTGTAAAGCGATGCTGCGGTTGTGTTCTGTTTTCAGAAAGTCGTCTGGAGAATTCTCAACAGTATCTACTATTTAACCGTTATCAGAAACGTGAGTTTAAATAGACGGCTAAGAATAAAGAAAAGGAGCCTGCTGTGACTCAGACATTCATACTGTCAAACCAAAAAGCTGGTCCAAAGACTATTTTTTAGATGACTCCAGGATCTTGGCTTCCTCAGCCTTGGTGTTCATACTGCACACAAACCTTCTGTAGTCTACTCTCCGTGCAGTTCTTTTGTTCATCTGTGGCAATGTGGGGCCACTCCAGATCCCCAACAGAACGATTTCAAAGGAATCATCAGTGTCTCTGGGGGAGTTCTGAAAACTATCTACTCCCAAGACATACCCCAAACCTGGGGACTCCACAGCTCCAGCGAAATTCTGCAAGATTTTGTTTCATAATGTGAGGGCATTCTGAGGATCAAGCATTTTCAGGGCAAACAATTAGGAGAAGAACCTGGCTTGAGACTGGGTATACATCAGAGTTGAATCATAGTGATGCTAATTTCCAGTTGGGCATTAACCCTTCAAAAAACGAGGACCCTCATGATTTATACACCGGGTTCACCTGAGAATAACATGTGATGGTACATTTACTCCTGGACATAATATGGAATAATAGCTATGCAGCCATACAGACTTGTGCATGCACAAATCCTGAAGACTGGCCCATGTGGAGGAGACACAGACCCTTCTGTTTTCCCTTTACCCAAACCCCATCCCCAACTGTCACAGACTCTTCCTCCCTCGGGTGTCTGGGAGTCTCCCCGTTCCTGGGCCTCTCCCTCCAGCATCCTGATACAATCAACTGCTACCTCCTCAAGCAGCGTCTCCACGCCCTGACCAACTGAAAGCGAAGGGAACAACCACGCTTCCCTTCCTGTTTTACTCACTTCTCATTGCTTCTCTGCTGGACTGAGTTACACGGCCAGACCTCATGGCAATGATCATCTCATAGTCACCACTGGTCACTACCGAGGAGTCTGGAAATGCTGCTCTGCTGGGACCAGGATAGACAGCCAGTGTTATTTATTTTTCACTCTTTTAGGGACCCGCCACCCAACTCCTAAATAAGTCACACATGGAGGCTTATTCTTAACTATGAATGCCCGGCCTTAGCTTGCCTTATTTCCTTAACTTTAAATTAGCCCCGTCTACCGTTTGCCTCTGGGTTTTTCCCGTTCTCTTACTTCTGCAAATCTTACTCTTACTCCATGGCTGACTGGTTGTTTAGCTGGGTGGCTGGCCCCTGATAACCTCCCCTTCTCTGGCTCCTTCTAGATCTCCCTTTCCAGATTTCTCCCTCTATATATACTCTCTGCCTGCCAGCCCCACCTATCCTTTCTCCTGCCTTGCCATTGGCCATTCAGATCTTTATTAGACCATCAGGTGTTTAGACAGGCACAGTAACACAGCTTCACAGAGTTAAACAAATGCAACATAAACAAAAGTAACACACCTTAAAATAATACTCTTCAACAAGCCAGTTCTTGCCTCAAACACAGACAGACTGCCTGGATGTAAAGAACTCAGCTGTCACTCTGAATGAACAAACTCTGCAGAAACCCCCCCCCCCCACACACACACACACACACATACACGTCAATGTGAGGAGACCAGCTTTGTCTCCCATGGTCCGCTTGTAGCGCCCAGTGTTCTCTGAGGTGAAGGAAGGCTAGACTGTGAGCCAGGCAATGACTCAGTGGGTAAAGCGCGTGCTGTGTAGGGATGAGAACCAGAATTTGGATACCCAACACCCACAAAAAAAGGCTAAAACCCCAGGTCTGGAAGTATTCAGTTATGACAGTGCCCATCCATAACCCCAGGAAGACTGGGATGGGAGGAGTTGTGAAAAGAGATGATTCCCAGGGGCTCACTGCTTAGCCATCTAGTGGAAACTGTTAGTTACAAGTTCAGTGAGAGACCCTGTCTCAAATAAAATAAAAATAAAAATAACGTTGAGAGCTATCTAAGACACCAGACATCAACCCTTGCTCTCTACATGTACACACACGAATGGGTGTACCCACACATACATGTACAACAGAGAAAGAAGGAAAGAGGCAAGTTAGATAAACCCATGGAAATAGTTCTGCTCAGTGACCCTTTTAAGTTCTGATAAAATGTCTCCCAAAAAGCCTACCCCTTGCTAGAAAAAGATAGCCCTATCATTTGTTAACACTTTGCACTTTTAAGTGTGTCTTGTCACTCATGATTAGTGAGGGAGCGTCTCTAGAGACCTTCAAAATATGTCACTTCCTAAGCACTGGGACACTCAGCTGGGCAGTCAAGGGAAGATAGGTGTGTCTCGGTGTCTCATCTCTACTGCTCTAAGACCCCAGCTATTGGGTGACTTTGAACATGGCCCATCAGTACAGGAGAAAAAGTGCTCAATTCTCTGACCAATATTTTGATTAATAACTCACTGGAAACAGTGTGATAGAACAGTAAAGAGCCCCCGAGGTCAAAAAGCCTTTCTCACAGAAAACAGCTGTGATACTGTGGGAGTCACCTTCTCTGTGCACGCCCAGGAGGAAGTTCGGCTTCCACAGAGTGCTCAGGTAGTTAAATGTCTCTGCTTTTGTGTTGCATCATGTCACGGCATGAGGGACGCTGAATACTCTAAATGTTGGACTTCTAGAAGCTTGAGCCCCTTGACCTGCCACAAGTCATCACCTCTGAGCGACTCCTGAGCCAGCAAGAAGCCAGAACAAGACACAGAGCAAAGGTGAGCTGCGGCAGTTACTGACTGGGGAAGCGGGTGAGCCTGGGGGGGTCACCCTTTTCATGTTCCCCTTCACACGGGAGTTCAGAGCCAAAGCTGACAGTTCAGTCCTTGGCAGGTAGAATGTTTGAAGCTTCAGAGCTTGCCCACGCCTGCCTCCAACTGGCAAGTGCTCTTCACTCTTGGATGAGGCCAGGCTCTGTTTGCTTTGTGGAGCAAACAGAGCTATGTAGATGAAAGGGGGGTTTTACACGGAAACCAGTGGTTCTGGAAGTGTTTCAATCTGCGGGGGAGGCAAGCCAGCACAGCTCTTCCCTTCACCTCTCCTGAGGCTGGCACTCCCTCTGCTCTGACTCCAGGGAAGATCTTCTCTAGAAGTTGTTCCTCCTGACTTCTGTGCCACAACCTCCATCAACATGTAATCCCAGGAAAGGTCTTCTGTTAGCTTTGTCCTGCTGAGTAAAAAATGAAAGCTGTTAGTCGGGGTCACTTTCATACCCTGTCCTGACTCATGCTGGAGCCAGTCAGACACTGCTGTGTGGCCAGGTCAGGGACACCTGAGTGCTCTAGGTCCTCGAGTTCATGTTTAAGGTGCTGACCGTGGGGACATCCTCCCCCGACCTTTCTGCACTATCCAACACATTGTCCACAGAGCCGCACAAAGGGCTGTCATCAACTCTCTTCTTCACCTCTGGGCAACAGCAAGTGACAAGCAAAACTATCTTCACCTCTGCTTGTCCTCAGTAGCCACCTTGACTGTGCCACTGAATTTTGGATCGAACTAAGGGGAGACCACCAGACACAGAAGCAGTCGCTTCAAATCCCCCCTCAGCGGCCATGCTCCCTTGGGCATATATTTCAAATGTGAAAATACACTGTAGAGAAATAGGTTCTGCTGAACCACCTCCTCTTACTGCACAGCCAGCCAGTCAATGATAGAAGACACAGGAAGAGAAAGGAAGGTCTCATGAGACCAGGACACCTTTCTAGACAGATAGTAAAAGCATCTGTTGGCAGGGGAAACGGGCTGTTGTCGACGTGAGATTATCAAAATAAAATTGTCAAAACCCTCGAATTCAAAACCCTGCAAGGACCTTTCAAACACTATCAGCTACACGGCAGATTGCCACTTCATTCTCTGATAGCTATACAAAGGACTTGTCAGGGACACAACTGCAGTGTACTTTTATCAAGACAGGAGACCGGCTACGGATTACCTGGGATTAAGATCTCCTGCTCCAAGAAGGGTTGAAGGCAGTGAATTACCATTTCCCCATACTAATAAATATATCATCTTTCATAGCAGGAACTTGAGAAGAAAATGCAGCTTCCAATGTACACTTCTGGGAAGAGACAGTATTTACATAAGATGAAAATGCTGGAGATAAACCATAAGAGACAGGAGGTAAAGAGAAGAGGGTCACGTTTACCAAATTTGGAGGGCACCGTCACTGTCCTGCCCAGTCCAGTCTGTTCTCAGCAACATAGCAGAAGCTGCCACTGCCTGAGCTGGGAAAAACAGGAAGATGACCTTTTGCCCCAAGCCTTTTTGTTTTTTCACTTCTCTACAAGATTAGATCTGTGCTTCAAGCATCCCTTTTCTCTCTCTCTCTCTCTCTCTCTCTCTCTCTCTCTCTCTCTCTCTCTCTCTCTCTCTCTCATGCCGCAGTGCACATCTAGAGGTCACAGGCTAATTTTTGGTAGTTTTGTTTTATTTTGTTTTTTTCCATCATATGGGTTCTGGTTATCCAACTCAGATTTGTCAGGCTTTGCAGCAAGCTCCCTTAGCCACTGGGTCATCTCATTGGTCCCTCAAGTGTCCCTTTTTCTTTGTCTCTTTGGTTTGTTTTTTAAGAAAGGGTCTCATTATATACCCCTGGCAGGCCTGGAACTCACTGTGTGGGCCAAGATGACCTCCTGTGTCCTGAGTGTTAGGATTAAAGATGTGCAAAAGCCTAGCTTGTGTCTCTTGTAATAACCTTTGACCTTCCGGCTGTAACCAGAAAATAGGGTAAATAATATTCCTTTCCTGATTTAGTAGGAGAGGGAATGGAGGTCAGTCTTTATTGTGATACATAGGCCTCTCCCTATTAACTCATGCCATAAAATTTGCTAGTGAGAAACGCCTTGTACTAGGCATTCTGGCATCCACGCTTGGGGGGTGCTGTAGAGGAGGACTGCCACAAGGTCTAGGCCAGCCTGGGTTACACAGAAAGTTTCAGGACAGCCGAGCTATGGAGTGTAACCCTGTTTCCAAAAGAAGAAACAAGCAAGGATTTTGTCTTCGTCCATTTCTGCTGCTATAAGAGAACACCAGAGATGTAGTAATTAATAAAGATGATGTCTGAGCTAGGGTTTCTATTGCTGTGAAGAGACACCATGACCATGCAGTTCTTATAAAGGGAAAACATTTCACTGGACTGGCTACTTACAGTTCAGAGGTTCAGTCCATTATCATCATGGTGGGACATGGCAGCATGTGAGCAGACATGGTGCTGGAGAAGGAGCTGAATGTCCTACATCTTGACTTGATGGCAACAGCAAGTGGTCTCAGACACTGGGTGGTATCTTGAGCATATATGAGACCTCAAACCCCAACTCTACAGCGACACACTTCCTCCAACAAGACCACACCCACTCCAACAAGGCCACACCTCCTAATAGAGCCACTCCCTTTGGGGACCATTTTCTTTTAAACCCCGCCTCCCCCCATGATAAATATATTGCTCATTGTTCTGGAGGTGGGGGAGTCTAAGACTGAGATACTGGTAGTTGATAAGAGGTGGCACAACACAGCAGAGGACATGATAGGAGTCAATGTTCATGAGAGTGAGGAGTCAGGAGCAAGAGAAAACCAAGGCAGTCAAGGCAGCCTTTATAACTCACCAGAGAGAACTAGCCTCTCCTGGGATAATAGTTTCACTCTGTTGTAAAAGTGAAACCCTCACCACCCAAACATCTCTTAAAAGACCCATCTACAAATTAGCATAAGAATCGGGTAGGGTCACATTTCCAACCTATGAATTTGGGAGGACACACTGGAACACGTTCTCCAGTAAAGCTCTGTGACTGTCATACCCTAAGCCCCCCCTCTCCCCCACAAGGAGCCAGCCTGTAGTTCTATCCTCTGCAATTCCAAAACCTCACCTACAGACAGAGGCTGACAGGGACCCTCATTTCAATGATCTACGCCTCTGCAAGCCAGTGAGCGTGCTCGTCTGTCTCCTGACAAGCCTCAGAATAAAGTTGCCACAGAATGTGATGAGAACAAAACCATCCCAACGTGTTCAAGGGTGGCCAGGCCTGTGAACTGTCCATGCTTTCGTTGTTGCTGAATTTGTTCTGGAGAAGACAGTTTGGGAGACTATTAACCACTTATACCTTATCATGTCAGGCCCAAATGGAGTTGGAGAGTCTTCAGAGTAAAGCAAGACTTGATATGCAAAAGCTGAAGGACCATAACGGCAATAAAATCACCGAAAGCACGCCAAGGAGCAATCTCTATGACATTATCACCATACTGCCTGATGAAACCATGAACAGACACCCAGGTGAGTACTGTCATTTCTTTAGGAAAACATTTCATTTATTGTTTCAGTTTGGTTTGGGGTTCAGTTATTGCTTGAAGACAGGCTTTTATGTAGCTCAGGGTAGCTTCAGACTCACTATGTTCTCAAAGATGACCTTGAACTTCTGATGCTCCTGCCTCCACCTCCCAAGCACTGGATTGCACCACTATGCCTGATTTGTTTACATCATGCTAGATATCGAGCCCAGGACTTCGTAAACATGGCAGGCAAACACTCCACCAATATAACTACAGCCCCAGCTCCTTAATTTTGCTTTGAGACAGAGTCAGACTTGAACTCCATATCCTCCTGCCTCAGCTTCTTGAGCACTGAGATGCAAACATATTTGAAACTTCATCAAATAAATGTCCATAATGGGCATGCGAAGGAGAGTGAGGAGACAGCAAATAGCTGTCACTGAGGGGACATTTGATGTCTTGGAATAAATGGCATGCCACATTGTGTTTTGCATCTCTGAGAGAAAAAGACAAAAAAGCTTTTAAGCTCTGCATAGAGGCTTGTAGATTCTAAGTGCTTTACAGGTCCTCATAAGACAGGCTCAGAGCATCTCTTACTGTCAGAGAGAGAGAGGCTCTTATAGATACATGGAGTTTCCTGTGCTCACAGAAACATATATGTAATAGACATCAACCCCTTATCCCTCAAGCACCCTTTGCGCTGTGTGTAGTTCAGCCTTTTTGGACACCCATGAATGCTACAGTGAATCTAGCACCCCTACCCTCTCCACCTGGCTCCTGCTTCATCCACCATCTGTATGGGGGAGGCCCTCATGCCCCATGTCACTTGGACCAGAGATCCATCCCCAGCCCCATAAACTGAACTTCTAGAAGCACTGTGCTCATGCAGAATGACTTCATGGAAAGCATCTGGCCACATCACTCTCCTCCTTAGAAAACAATTGCCAGGACTGGAGAGCTGGCTCAGTGGTCCAGAGTGCTTACCATCATCCTTCCAGAGGACCAAGTTTGCTTCCCAGCATCCATGGAGGGTGGCTCAAAACTGCCTGTAACTCCGGCTCCGGGGTATCTGGTGCCCTCTTCTAGCCTCCTACAAAACCTGTACACACATGCCCTACAAGCACATAAGCACATACTCATAAGTAAAAATAAATCTTTAAAAAAAAATACAGCCAGACTTCTATCAACCTGAGGCCAAAAGCTCAACTCTTTAACAGGGGGTTCCAGTCCTTTCTGAATCTGGTCACTGCCTATGTTCTCATTTCATCTCCTGCTGCTCCACACTCCAGCCTTGAGTTGTTCTGGGCTTTCCAACAGACATCCTCATCCGTAACCTGTCTGCTATGCTGCCCAACAACTGGAAGGCCCATTAAGTTTTCCCAGTGTGAGTTCTCCTAGGAGAAAGCTGCATGTGTCCTGTGTTGTTCACACACAGAGGTTGCTGTGCCAGGGACGAAGCCCCACATCAGTAGGGCTGACCATGGTGGAGCTACAGCAACGGCAAGTGAGCTCTAAGATGCAGAATCACCTGCTGAAGGAGATGCTGTCCCCGCTCCAAAGAGCAAGGGTCTGAATCAATAAGTTAATTAAACAAAAGGCAGAGTAACTGAAAATCAGCTTGGGGCATCCATTTAACCTGCGCCCCAGTCTCAGGCAGAGACAGGCTTTGTTGTCAAATAAACAACTTCTGCAACTGAAAAAAAAAATATTGGCAAAACAACGAAGGAAAAGGGGCTCCGCTAAAGCTAAGCACTCCAAGTCATCACCTGAGAATGAGCCTAATACAATTACTCTGGCAGAGGCTGGGAGGGATCCGGGAGGGGCTGAAGACAAGGGTTTTCCATTGCTTTCCTGAAGCTTTCTAAAGAGGCTTCACTCTATTCCAGCTATGGTTCTCTCTCTCTCTCTCTCTCTCTCTCTCTCTCTCTCTCTCTCTCTCTCTCTCTCTCTCTGTGTCTGTCTCTGTCTCTGTCTCTCTGTCTCTCTGTCTCTCTGTCTCTGTCTGTCTCTGTCTCTGTCTCTCTCTCCTAAACCTGTAATCTGTAATCCCAGTTCTTGATCACCATGAGTTCCTTGGATGGCATAGTGACTTCCAGGCCAACCTGAACTCCACACTGAGACCCTATCTCAAAAACAGACCAAGCAGTCAGTCATGTGATCTGTCCTTGAAGCACCGTCTCTCATTTCACTCTCACAACAGGATATCCAAGAAGAGTCCCAGTGAGGATCCAGTGTTAATCCTCACTGTAGCCAGAGGCCTCAAGCCAGACCAATGACTCATTGCAATGAACATTTGCAAGTAAAGATGTATGGACTAAAGGGTATACTGTGTGACTCACTGTGACACACTACAGCTTCCATGACAAGATTTTTTTTTGTCTTTATTTTATTTTATTGGGGAGGGAGAGTTGCAAGGGAAGATGAGTGGGATTGAGGTACATGATGTGAAATCCACAAAGAATCAATAAAAAGTTTTTTAAAAAATATAAAGTTGAAGGAATATTTTTTTAAAATGAGATCACTATTAATTAGGATCTCATGGAGGGAGATGTCTGTAGGCAATTAGCCTTGCCAGCTGCTGAAATTGCTAGAAATGAAAATCTACTGCTTACTTTTCTGGTTGCTCTAATAAAATTAATCCCAGCACTCGGGAGGCAGAGGCAGGCGGATCTCTGTGAGTTCGAGGCCAGCCTGGACTACCAAGTGAGTTCCAGGAAAGGCGCAAAGCTACACAGAGAAACCCTGTCTCGAAAAACCAAAAAAAAAAAAAAAAAAAAAAAAAAAAAAATAAAATTGCCAACAAGAGCTCTGTAGAAGGAAAAGCTTGTTTTGGTGCACAGTTCCAGGATATAGTTCATTACGGTAGGAAAGGCATGGCGGCAGGAGTGAGAGGTCGGTCACATCATGTCTGCAGCCAGGAAGCAGGTAGAGATGGAAACTGACCCAACAGCTAGCTTCCTTCTCAGTCCTCTAGCTTCCTTCTCGGTCCTCTTGACCCAGTCTGGAACCCCAGCCAATAGCATGGTGCCACCCACGTTTCGGGTATGTCTCCCCTCTGGAAGCACACTTGCAGGTGCACCCAGAGGTGTGTCTCCTAGGTGATTGCAAATCCAGTCAAGTTGACAATGGGAATTGTCACAAGAAGTGAAGTATCACCACACATTTCTTTGATGATGGAGAGATTGTGGGTCACATAAAGTTGGTCATTCTCCTGTTGCATCCATTCTTGCTGCACAGCGCCATAGGCAGGAACTTACAGGGATAATATAATATTATAATATATAACATAGTATCGAGTTCTTCCTCTATGAATCATAAGCGGTCAGGATTATTCGCCTGTTTCATATATAAGGAGGCCAGATCCAGAAAGGACGGTTTCATGCACAAGGTCACAGCCAGATAGTGTTCTCAGGATGCCTTACCCCAGAGACTTCACACTTGACTACTCTTGCCACTGGTTCTAGCAAAGGCTCCTTCTTGCTCATCACAGAGAACCTCTTGGACTACTTTCCCTGTCTTCCAAAAGCATTTCACTTTGCTTTCTCCTGTGAGTGGGATGCAGCCAAGCTCAGACACAGACCTGAGCATCCTGGTAGTCAGGGTCTGGCAATGCAGACACCTCTGTTCCAGCTCACACTGATTTAATGGTGTGTCCACCATTTTTTTTGTTTCCCTCTGGAAGACAGGATGAGAATTTTAGCCTCTCGTGAGACAGAAGGCAAGCTCCATTTTCTGCTGCCTCTTTAAAACAAAACTACCTTTAAATTTTTGGTTTATATATTCACGTGATAAATCACACATACAGTCATATAAAATAGCTAAGTACAACATACATACAGTGAGCATCACTCTTTTTGGTGTACAATTCTATGAGTTTTACTATGTTCATGTGGCCCTGCCCTTTCCAGAGGCATGACTTGGATACAGTTGGAGAAAGTCACAGAAATTGGGATCGAAGTCCGTCCCTGAGCCCCAACAGTGCACTCTCTCCTGACAGACGGCACATCCTCCTGCTCCTAGAGCAGGGTCTGACAAACCATAGATTTTTCTGCATTGTTTCATTTTGTAAAGAGAAAAATGTAAGTATATTTATTGCTTCACTTCTGTGACCCTGTCTTTCTAGGTCTGTAAAATGGGGGTAAATGGTATCAGTCAAAGTAGGATTCATGTAAAGTTAATCTCATGCTGTGGATGCCGCTCTGTACGCTGGAAATGTGTTGCTCTGATTGGTTAATAAATAAAGTGCTGATTGGCCAGTAGCCAGGCAGGAAGTATAGGCAGGACAAGCAGAGAGGAGAATTCTGGGAACAAGAAGACTGAGTCAGGAGTCACCAGCCAGACACAGAGGAAGCAAGATGTGAAGGTAGAACTGAGAAAAGGTACCAAGCCATGTGGCTAAACATAAATAAGAATTATGGGTTAATTTAAGTGTAAGAACTAGTCAATAGTTAGCCTGAGCCATTAGGGCATACAGTTTTAATTAATAGAAGACTCTGTGTGTTTATTTGGGTCTGAGTGGCTGTGGGCCTGGGCAGGACTGGAGAAAATTCCAGCTACAATCTCATTTGTAAAGAAGCCCATGTAAGGGCTAGGGAGATTGCTACACTGAGAAAGTGTTTGTCCCATGAGCTTGAGGACCTGAGTTTGGATCTTTGGTACACACGTAAAAGGCCAAGTCATGGCAGCATGCATCTACAATCCCAATTTTAGAGAGGCGGAGATGGGGGAACCCTCGAGGCTTACTAGCCAAGCCAAGCCAGCCACCTCAGTGAGCTCTAGGTTCAGCGAGAGACCCTGGCTCGACACATAAGATGGAGATTGATGTGACACTTGTCCTAAACCTCCGGCGTCCACGTGCACCTGTGCACATAGAGTCTTCCCCACCTCCAGTGCACATAACATAAGCTGTGAGGTTCAGACAATGTATAGGAATGTGTGTAAAACTGAAGGAAGAAAAATGGAACTGTTGTCTCACTGAAGCAACAAAATACCTGAGAGAAGCAACTTAAGGGAGCAGGGGTTTACTCTGGCTCATGGTTTCAGGTAGTGAAGTCCAGCAGGGAAAGTGTGGTGTCAGGAGTAGGAGGCAGCTGGCTACACCTCATCCAGCTGGGAAGTAGAGGGCTCAGTAGACTCAGCTCACTTCCTCTCTTTCATTTGGTTCAGGACCCCAGCCTATGGATGGGTACCACGTTCAGGGTGGGCCTTCCCACCTCAATTAACCTAGTTGACAATCCCTCCTGGGCATGCTCAGGAGCATGTGGTTTTTAGAATCACCCAAGATAACAGCCTACATTAACCATCACAATGTCTTATACCAAAACAACCATATCTTTCAGAAAATGTCACCCTAAATCTATCATTTCAATATCACCTTCATAATTCTAATCTTCTCTATCCACCCATACTACTTAACTACTAAATCAATAAAATTTTTGAAAACATATAGCTTTGTCTCTAAACTACTGTGATGTTATAGTGTTATACAGTAGTGATAGATCTTTCTTTTGTTTGTTTTTTGTTTTTCAAGACAGGGTTTTTTGTGTAGTTTTTGGTGCCTGTTCTGGACCTCACTCTGTAGACCAGGCTGGTCTTGAACTCACAGAGATCCATCTGGCTCTGTCTCCTGAGTGCTGGGATTAAAGGCATGTGCCACTGCCGCCCTGCTCTTGATAAATTTTTCTAAAACACATATTATGAAGTATACAACTGTCAAAGATTCTTCATGCTGATTGCTATACCTCTTACATCACTCATTTCCTCCACACACATCAGCATATATTGGCTTCCCCTTGAAAAAAACTTTAAAAAGGTTAATCCTGGAGCTTTATATACTGACTTCTGTTGGGCCCACCCAAAATCCATTTAGGTTTCTAAAGATCATGATTGTTTTTAATTTTATTGTTTTCGAGTCTATAAGCCATAGACCATGGAACATCAATAACAATGTTGTTATATCTAGCTCAGATGCCCTCAAGCTTCAGTGCTATGTACCCAGAACTGTGTGTATGGTCCCCTATTGGTGAGAAAGGCTGGTTTTCAAGGATGAAACTGAGGGTGTGCATTTGCATCATGTACAACTTTAGACTGGGTTGATCATAGCACCAAGAACGTTGTGGGACTTAAGCTACCGTTCATAGTATATTAGACCCCACTGCCAGTAGACATTTTCTTCCCATTTCAAAGTTCTGCTTCTAGTTAGACATTGTAGAAATTTCTCTTCTCAGTGGTGCCTCTTGCAGTGCTCAGCTCATTTTCAGAACAGAGATGACTGACAAGTTTAAGCTCCAATAATGAAGTATTTCCCAGGTCGCCATTACTTCCCACATCCTAAAATTCTCTGATTACTCATTGGCTCATTCATTTATTCGTTCCGCTCATGACAAAAGTCTAGAGATGTGGTTTTGTTTCTCTGGCTTTGTTTGTTTGTTTTGAGACAGACCTCACATATCTGAGTGTGCATCAATGGATGACCTGAACTTCTGGCCCTCTTGCCTCCTCCACCTCTTGACTTCTAGGAACACAGGCATCTGCCACCACGCCATGTTTTGTGCAGTCTGTATGGTGCTTGCTGATAGTGCTTGCTGATCGTGCGTGCTGATCAAGCGCTCTACCAACTGAGCTCTATCCTTTCCCCTGATTTTCAGATGGTTCAGCTGAAAGCAATATTGTGGCAAAATATTGTGGAGGAGAAGTTGGGGATCTAGGTTTGTTTTACTAGTCTCGGTACTTTTAGATGATTAAATAAAATTTAAATAACAGCTAAAAATTAGTATTTACAGAGATAACAGTCAACGTATGTGTGTTTGCTGTTGTTAAAAACAATGAATAGGGCTGGAGAGATGGCTCAGAGGTTAAGAGCATTGGCTGTTCTTGCAGAGGTCCTGAGTTCAATTCCCAGCACCCACATGGTGGCTCACAACCATCTGTAATGAGATCTGGTGCCCTCTTCTGGCCTGCAAGCATACATGCATGCAGAACACTGTATACATAATAAATAAATAAATCTTAAAAAAAAAAAAACAGTGAAAAATCTCAATGTTGCACAAAGGAAAACCAGAACAAAACAAAAGGAGCAAGGGAATTCTTTTTGCAAAAAGGATGTGCCAATCCAACCTGGGCTAGCAGGCACACTGGGACAGGAAGTACTCAGGGTGTTATTCCAACAGAGGTAGTGACTGTGTCTTTTCCCCATTGGTTGGGGGCCAACCTCCCAGTCTTTTGAAATTGGCTAGTTCTGAAAGAATTGTAGAAAGGAAATGAAGGGAAGTGGGAAGGGATGGGGCGCTTAAGTCACTTAAATCCAAGAATACAGAACAGCCTTTGTGTAAACAACAGTTTTAACAGTAAGGGGGGCGGGGTAGGAAGATTAAAACATTTTCATAATAGGGATAAGGAAGAAAAAAAGATTTTAATTCCTTGTGGCAAACAACAGTTTTATAGTGTTTACAGAAAAGGCTAATATTTTTCTTCCAGTATTAACCTCAAGTAGATTATTCTATGATAAGAGCACTTTAAATAATCCATCTTAAGGAGACAGTAAAAGAACTTTTGCTCTTTTACAGGAAATCCACGGGATGAAAAATTCGTGGAATATCACACAGAGAATGACTATTGTGTCCGGAAAATTGGCAAAATGGAAGCATGGCTCCGTGAACAAGCAGCCCAAGGACAGCTTTTCTGTGACAGCTCTAGCTCTGACTCAGACGAGCCTGAGAAAAATCAGAAGAGACCACAAGCACTAGTGAGGACCAGGACAGAGAGGGTCCCACTTTATGATGAGTTTTATGACAGAGAATGAGAAAACTACACACTACTCCAGGTAGTGAGGACACCGAATGGTGTGTTTGTTTGTCTGTTTTCATCAAAGTCATTTCTGTTCGCACATGAAGTACTGAGGGAAGTAACTTACATTGGTACAATGAAAGGATGTCATCTGGAGCCTTGTGGCTAATGGGTTTGTCATGTATGCTGTAAGTCTAGGCCTTAAAACTAAGGGGCTCAAACAAAGGTCATTTGATTGTCTTACGTTTCTGTGGGTAGCTGGGCTCAGTGAGGATGTTCTGTTGATCTCTTCATATAGCTTATGTAATTTGACATCAGATGGCAGCTGAGACTAGAGTCACATAGAGGCTGAGCTAGAACTCAAGACAACTGAAATTTGATCATGTTCCATCCAGTCTGAGTCTCTTGACAGTCTGTGCAGCAAGGTAGTACATTTCTCCTTTAAACCAGTCCAGTGCTTCTAACATCAAATATTCCAGCTGGAGGAAGCTGGAAGACACAGAATTGACAAGTGTCTAGTCCTTGAACCCGCCCTAAACCACTTCCACCATATCCTATCAGTTAATCAAGTCATAGGACAATTGCTAGCAAAAGAAAAGTCTACACAAGGGGACAGGTACCTGTGCATCCTAGAGATCACCAACACCACCACACATTTCAAAGCTTGGAACTGTTTTTGTCTTTAGAAGCAAGGTGGTAGCCTTCAATCCCAGCACTCGGGAGGCAGAGGCAGGTGGATCTCTGTGTTCAAGGCCAGCCTGGCCTACAGTGTGAGTTCCAGGATATCCAGGGCTACACAGAGAAATCCAGACTTGGTGGGGAAGCGGGGAGTTTAAGAGGCATGGTGGCAACATGCATGTAATCCCAGCACTGGAGAGGCTGAGTCAGGAGAATCATGAATTCAAGACTAGCCTGGGCTACAAGACAGAAGCCTGCCTCAATCAACTGATCATCAATAAAGGCAAATTAAATTCTATAAAAATAGATGAGAGTATATTGTATATTTAAAAAGTGAGTTAAAAAAAAAATCACCGTGATGCTATAGGAGACACTAAGAACACTTAGAGCTACTTTTTTAAAAAAGTTGCCCATATAGCAAGGGCTCAAGAAAGAGGTAAATAAAAGCAGGTGTGAAAAGTAATTGTGGAATTAAAGCTCCAAATTAAGACTTCACATAATCTACAAATGGTTTTAAGCATTTCAATTTTCAATAATTTAGTAAAACTTTAAAGTAAATCAAAACAAAAAAACCTTTTAAAGCCTTTAGTAGGAAATTTCCCAAAAGAAAAACTAGAGGAAAGCACCACCTGAGTGTGGTATTCAGTCTCTTCAAACAGGTTGCTAAGAGACCAAAGCCTGTCAGGATGACCTCATGTCCTCCAACAATGGAGAGTTATGGGCCTGTCTTTATTGTAATTCCTTTCTGTACTTCCTTTTATGTACTTTGGACAAGAAGCTAATCTGTACCAAAAGATAATTATCAATACTAGGTTGTTTGGCCACTAGCCTTCTCCAAATGGTAGGACCCATCAGAGGATATGCAAATTCAAAATACCTCTGATGTCTTCACGTTTATAGGGTACCTGGAAACCTTAAAAGAGGAAGGGAAACTCCCAGTGTTCAAGATTGTGGCACCAGGGACCAGAGAGATGGTTTAGCAGCCAAGATCTCTTGTTACTCTTACAAAGGACCCAGGTTGTGTTCCCAACAACCACAGGGCAGTTCACAACTATCTGTAACTCTATTCCCAGAGGATCTGATGCCCTCTTCTGACCTTTGCAGACACTGCATACATGTGGTACATGGACATACTTTCAGGCAAAACATTCATACACAATGAAAATAAATAAATCTAAAAAAAAAAAAAGTGGCACCAACGTGCTGTCTAGACTCTGCTCTGTCACACAAAATTAGACAAAACTTCTCTCTACAAACTCCCTGTGCCATGACTTCCACTAGAGCGTGGACCACAACCTCTTCCTGTATTATTAATACCTGCACTGTCCAACTTGACATCTGGCACAGATTTCATTAGCAGATATTTGTGAATTACTCAATTTACCTGTTGAGTCGCCTTGTCAGTTGGGAGGCACTTGTATCTCCCCAGCTCTGCATTTGCTCACAGTCCCTTCATTTCTCAAGACATATCATCCACAAGGTTCATTATATGTAAAGAGGCTTCTCAGAAGTTCTTGGAATGTGAGCATCTAAGCGGATGACCTCAGTCAGACACCCCTGTGAGGTCCAGAAGATACACCCTATGCTGGTGAAGTAGATACACCATAGCTCCAAGTATTTTCCAAAACTACATCAGAATGTGTTGACTGCAGGGAGAACCACACTGCCTTCTGTGTGAGAGCTGATTCGCCTGCCCTAGAACCCTTCCTTGGTCAGTTTCTATCCAGGATCTGAAAAGAATAATGGCTGTAACGTGCATGGACTATTCGTGTGTGCGCCAGGCACTCTTCGGTGTGTAACATGATTGATCCTCACACAAGTTTTGTGAGCCAGCATTAACATCTCCATCTAACAAGGACGCAGGACACAAAGGGGCTCAGGGAAGTGCCAGAGTCATCCAGCAGAACTTCCCTTCAGGCTTGATCATTGTTTACCGATAGTCCACTGATAGGCCCTTCCCTTCTTTACCAAATTTACTTCTAAGAACTCGAATGGTGACCAGCATCCCATACTTTTTTCTATTCCCTGGTTTTGTTTTGGTATTTTATTTTGTTTTGAAAGTATAGGAGCACATTGGAAAAGAAAAGTGCTCTATGGGAGATTTTTTTAGAGGAAGGAAGGAAGGCCTGATAGACTGTGATCACAGGGAAGGCTCAAAGTACCTGCAGAAACTTGAGATAAATACAAATTCTACTGTGTCATTGGGCCTGGAAGTAGCTGGGTAAGCACTGTCCACCCCACCCCCTCAGCCCCATCCCAGACATAATGGCCATGATTGGGAACAGCAGTGCTGGGTGCTGACCCCAGGTTAGAAACACCTGTTGCATGATCAACTGTCTATGCATGTTCTGAGGACTGAGCTCAGGTTGTTAGGAAAGGCACTTTCACTGCCTATCAGCAGCTGGTCTCACTGGGCCTCTAGATTTTATACAGGTGAATCTAATGTTTAAAATATAGAATGACTAGGATTGGAAATAAAATCACAGCTATAACTGTATAAATGTTTAACATCTATCTAAAGCAACTATTTCTTTGATTGATTTTTTTGAAGTCACAAACAGGAGGCCCAGAGCTCTACAAACAATGGGAGAAATGAGCATTTGCTACTGACAGTCTGAGAACATCAGTCCTATAATACATCCTGAATTTGTTCTGGCCAAGCTACATCCTTCATAGACATAGATGCTGTTGCTGCTGCTGAAAATTGTAACATCCAGCTGGAGGCAAAGCTGTTAGTTCCCTACAACTGAAAAAAAAACTCGAGATTTGGAAAGAAAAAGGCTTTGTCTATAATACACATATATACACATATATGGAATATTTAGGTATTCCTTCTTGTTCTGAAGTTTTCATGAGAAAGCTGTCTCTTTTGCATAGTTTTGGGAACGTGCTTCTCTCAGTTCTATTTCTTCTTGTCCTGTGTTAATGATGCCTCAGCTACAGGCCAGGGTTACTAAAGGCAGTCTTGTAAATGAATGGACATTGTCTACTTCGAGCACACAGTCTTTAGACTAGGAAACAGAAAGCTGCAGTGAGGGGACAGCTCACTGGCAGCATCTGACCACTACATCCAGATCCCTGAGTTCCAGAGTACCATCCACAACACTAGGCAAAGTCAGAATGCACAGACACCACGCAACATCCTCCCTTCACCATGGAGCACACTATTCAAACTGTGACGTAGCAGTGCCTTAACTGTCTTAACAATAGAAACTTGTTTCCATTTGTTGCCCTCAGGCCTCACTGATTTAGCACAATGTCAGAGAATTCAAAAGAAAATACACTATCTAGGTGAGGAAAGACCATTAGAAATCTAAATTACACTGGGCAGTGGTGGCACATGCCTGTAATCCCAGCACTCGGGTGGAAGAAGCAGGCAGATCTCTGTGCGTTCAAGGCCAGCTTGGTCTACAGAGCAAGTTCCAGGACAGCCAGAGCTACACAGAGAAACCCTGTCTCAAAAAAAAAAATCTAAATTACATCTTATTTTTAAAGAAATACTATTTCATTCAGGCACATAATGAACAATGGATACCCAAGTCAGTAGTGAAGGCACATTTAAAATACATTTTCACAGTAAGTCTGTAATACATGCATTCTGGTTTTTTTAATTTTTTTAAAGATTTATTTTTGTGTATGAGTTTTGCCAGTATGTAAGTGCACTGTGTGTGCCTGGCACCTGTGGAGGCCAGAAGGTGCCAAATCCCCTGAAACTAGAATTCCAGATGTTTGTGATCTGTCTGGGTGCAGGGAACTGAGCCTGGGTCCTCCACAAAAGCAGCAAGTGCTCTTAACTGCTGAACCATGTGTCCATCCTATATACTACTCATCTAATCCTGCATTAAAGAATGGGTTGTGAGCATCTACTCCAGGCCAAGCAAGTGCTATTGCATGGTTGAGATTACAGCTGTAGATACACAATGCAGTGGGAGCTTGTGAGCAGACAGCCAAGTGTATGGTAAAGTCTTGCAGGATTTATGCATCATTAAGAACCAAGCCAGGAAAAAGACTGAGGCAGGATGCTGACGAAGAGACTCCGTGAATCCCTGACTCGGGACGAGTCCTGAATCAAAAGGAAAAAGGTGTAAGCCATGAGAAAATCCGTGGAGCAGGCTTTCCAGAGGGCAGTGTGCAAAGGCCATGAGATGAAACACAGCATGCAGTATTTAAGGGACAACAAGACTAGCAAAGCGGCCAAAGGGGAGTGCATCCGTTCATTTTTCTGTTACTATAACAAAACATGAGGTCACATGCTTTCTATCTTACGTATATATAGGTGTTTTACTCGAATGTATGTTTGTTCGTCATGTGAATGTGATGCTGTGAAAGCCAGAAGAGGTTGTAAGATCCTCTGGAACTGAAGTTATAAATAGTTGTGAGCTGCCAAGTGGGTGAGTGCTGCAGATTGAACCCAGGTCTTCTGGAAGAGCAGCCACTGCTCTTAAGCACTGAGCCATCCCTCCAGCCACATCCACACTTTACTTTAAAAAGAAGTCTGTTTGGTCCAGGTTTGGACAGCCCCATCGACTCAGCTTCTAGTGAGGGTTTTCCCGGCTACATTAATAGATGGTAGCTGGTATCATAGTATATCACATGCTAAGACACGTCAGAAAGATTCAGAAGGCAGGCTCAATCTGTGTGTGTGATTTGTATTTGTGTGTACAGGATGTACTACTCTGTGTGTGAGTGTGGGTACACATACCATAGTGTGCATGTGGAGGATGACACAGAGTGTCAGTTCTCGACTTCCACCTAATCAAAAACTCAGAATGTTCAACACGACCATGAGCCCTAATGCATGGAAACTGGAGGACAGTGATGTGTCATGAAGCTTCTTCAGGTGTAATTAATGTGCAAGGACATCACTCATGCAGAAGGCTGTGCATGTCTGGGCACAGGGGTATTATAGAAATGTGCATCTTGTGGATAAAAGGGTTTACTGCGTGACTCACTGTGCCACACTACAGCTTCCATGATGAAACTGATTTTTCCTTTTTTTTTCTCTTAAATTTTATTTCATTTTATTTGAGGAGGGGAAGGTTGCAAGGGCAGGGGGCAGATATGGAAGGATGGGGAAATGAATGGGATTGAGATGCATGATATGAAAGACACGAAGGATAAATAAAAAGAAATCTATATCTTCCACACAATGTTGCTGTAAGCTAGAAACTGCTCTAGAGTATAAATCATTTCAATAACTTTAGCTTACAAAGGCTACCATAGATGTTACCACCCCAACTTCCTTTTTTTTTTTCAAACAAAAACTCTGAATCTAATCTCCCTGTTTAGCTTTTTTCCTGATGGTTAACAATTAACAACTTGTAACCAACCATTGTAAACAATGACAATATCCATAACTTATTAAACAACCAAAATCCTCCCATCCCACCTCTTGGGAATGTGGACGTCATTTTCTTAAAATTACTTCCTGCTTTCTGGGGGTGAAGACATCTTTAGGGAATCCTGAAAAGAAAATGTTTGGGTTAATTGGCAAGTCCTGAGAGAGTTAGCTGTATCATTTGTCCAGTCTCTGCATAATGGGAAAGTGCAGGGCTTGTCTCAAGTACTTGCTCGAGTAGTCGTGAATTTGGATCATCTCAGCTAGCCATCTCGAAATTGTCCTGAGCAGTTTGTAGTCCAAAGCCAATCTTTCCATGGTGTTAATGGCTTTACCATAGTTCATGTGGAATCATCATTGTGGGATCCCGTCACCTTTTTGAAGATTTCAAAGCCACTGATAGGTGTGGTCATGGTTCCCTGAAGACTTTTGGAGGGGGGGGGCAGTAAATTCTGAAAGATCAGAGAGACAGAATAAGCCACAGCTACCTCACCTTGCCAGTTCCTCAGCTGATCCTGTTTCCTCTGACTGGAAGCCTCTGATTTCCTCATCCAAAATGGATCTCAGCTGAACTGCTGCTCAAAAGCCTAACAGCTTAACCAACTCTAGTTCCTGGTTTTCATGCCTTATATACCTTTCTGCTTCTGCCATCACTCCCTGGGATTAAAGGCTCTTGTTACCATGCCTGGCTGTTTCCAGTGTGGCTTTGAACTCACAGAGATCCAGATGGATCTCTGCCTCTGGAATGCTAGGATTAAAGGCAGGTGTGCCACCATTTTCTGACCTCTATATCTAGTGGCTGTTCTGTTCTCTGACCCCAGATAAGTTTATTAGGAAGCACAATATATTGTGGGACACAATATATCACAAGACTCCCCAAAAAAAGACCATTGCCACATAATAATCAAACCACTAAACATACAGAATAAAGAAATAATATTAAGAGCAGCAAAGGAAAAAGGTCAAGTGACTTATAAAGGAAGACCCATCAGAATTACACAGTCCTGGACAGATGTAATGCAGGCACTAAGAGACCATGGATGCCAGCCCAGACTACTATACACAACAAAACTTTCAATCACCATAGACAGAGTGCACAAGGCATTCCAAGACAAAACCAGATTTAAACAAATACCTATTCACAAATCCAGCCCTACAGAAAGCACTAGGAAAAATCCAACCTAAGGAAGTCAGATGCACCCATAAAAACACAGGTAATAAATAACCCCACAGCAGAAAATCCCAAAGAAGGAAAATACACATACACTACCACCAAAAGATAACAGGATTAACAATCACTGGTCATTAATATCAATAATAATCCCTTAATATCAATAGATTCAATTCACCTATAAAAAGACATAGGCTAACAGAATGGATAAGAAAACAGGATCCATCCTGCTGCTGCTTACAAGAAACACACCTCAACTTCAAAGACAGACGCTACCTCAGAGTAAAAGGCTGGGGAAAGACTTTCCAATCAAATGGACTTAAGAAGCAAGGTGGTGTAGCTATCCTAATATCTAACAAAATAAACTTCAAACTAAAATTAATCAAAAGAGATCAGGAAGGACATTACATATTCATCACAAGAAAAATCCACCAAGATGAAGTCTTAACTCTGAACATTTATGCCCCCAAAACAAGGGTACCCACATATGTAAAAGAAACATTACTAAAGCTTAATTCATATATCAAACCCCACACACTAGTAGTGGGAGACTTCAACACCCAACTCTCATCAATGGACAGGTCTGCCAGACAGAAACTTAATAGAGAAATAAGGAATCTAACAGATGTTATGACTCAAATGGACTTAATAGATAGCTACAGAACATTCCACCCTAACACAAAAGAATATACCTTCTTCTCAGCACCCCATGGAACCTTCTCTAAAATCAACCACATACTTGGTCATAAAGCAAATCTCATCAGCTACAAAAAAATTGGAATAATCTCCTGTATTTTATCAGACCACCATGGCTTAAAGTTAGATTTCAACAACAAAAATTACAGAAAGCCTACAGTCTCATAGAAACTGAATAATGCTCAACCTAATCACCAATGAGTCAAGGAAGAAACAAAGAAATTAAAGACTTCCTAGAATTCAATGAAAATGAAAGTACAACATACCCAAACTTATGGGACATTATGAAAGCAGTGCTAAGAGGAAAATTCATAGCACTAAATGCCCACATAAAGAAGTTGGAGAATTCTCATACTAGTGATTTAACAGCACACATGAAAGCTTTAGAACAAAAAGAAGCAAACTCACCCAGGATGATTAGACACCAGGAAGTAATCAAATTGAAGACTGAAATCAATAAAATAGAAACAAAGAGAACAATACAAAGAATCAATGAAACAAAAAGATGGTTCCTTGAGAAAATCAACAAGATAGACAAGCTCTTATCCAAACTAACCAAAAGGCAAAGAGAGAACATCCAAATTAACAAAATCAGAAATGAAAAGGGAGACATAAAAACAGACAATGAGGAAATCCAGAGAATCATCAGGTCATACTTCAAAAACCTGTATTTCACAAAATGGCAAAATCTAAAAGAAATGGACAATTTTCTGGATAGGTACCAAATACCAAAATTAAATCAAGACCAGATAAACAATTTAAATAGACTTATAACCCCCAAGGAAATAGAAACCGTTACTAAAAGTCTCCCTCCACACACACAAAAAAAGCCCAGGACCAGATGGTTCCAGTGAAATTCTAGTAGAATTTCAAAGAACTAATACCAATACTCTTCAAACTGTTCCACACAATAGAAACAGAAGGAACATTACCAAACTCTTTTGATGAGGCTACAGTTACCCTGATACCCAGACCACACAGAGATGCACTAAGAATTACAGACCAATCCCTCTCATGAACACTGATGCAAAAATATTCAATAAGACAATCTTTTATGAGGCTACAGTAACCCTGATACCCAAACCACACAGAGATGCAACAAAGAATTACAGACTAATCTCTCTCATGAACACTGATGCAAAAATATTCAATAAAACACTGGCAAACTAAATCCAAGAACACATCAAAAAAATTATACACCATGACCAAGTAGGCTTCATCCCAGAGATGCAAAGATGGTTCAACATATGAAAACCATATAAACAAACTGAAAGGAAAAAACCACATGATCATTTCATTAGATGCTGAAAAAGCCTTTAACAAAATCCAACACCCCTTCATGATAAAGGTCTTGGAGAGATCAGGAATACAAGGAACATACCTAAACATAATAAAGGCAATTTATAGCAAAGCCAACAGCCAACATCAAAGTAAATGGAGAGAAACTCAAAGCGATTCCACTAAAATCAGGAACAAGACAAGGCTGTCCACTCTCCCCATATCATTTCAATATAGTACACCAAGTTCTAGCTACAGCAATAAGACAACAAAAGGAGATCAACAAATTGGAAAGGAAGAAGTCAAACTTTCACTATTTGCAGATGATATGATAGTATACATTAGTGATCCCAAAAATTCTACCAGGGAACTCCTACACCTGATAAACACCTTCAGTAATGTGGCAGAATACAAGAATAACTCAAAAAAATCAGTAGCTCTCCTATATACAAATGATAAATGGGCTGAGAAAGAAATCAGAGAAACATTACCCTTTACAATAACCACAAATAATATAAAATACATTGGGATAACTCTACCTAAGCAAGTGAAAGACCTGTATGACAAGAACTTCAAGTCTCTGAAGAAAGAAATTACAGAAGATATCAGAAAATGGAAAGATCTCCCATGCTCATGGATAGGTAGGATTTACATAGTAAAAATGGCAATCTTATCAAAAGCAATCTACAAATTCAATGCAATCCCCATCAAAATCCTTACACAATTCTTCACATACCTGGAAAGAAAAATACTCAACTTCATAGGGAAAAACAAAAAACCCAGGATAGCTAAAACAATCCTGTGGTGGTATTTTCTTTGTTACCCCAATAAAGTTTATCTGATGATCAAAGGAAAAAGCCAACCACTAAAGTAGACATAGAGGTCAGGCAATGATAGCACATGCCTTTAATCCTATCACCCAGGAGGCAGAGATCCATGTGGATCTCTCTGAGTTCAAGGCCACACACAGGGAACAGAGCCAGGCATGGTAACACATGCCTTTAATTCCAACATTAGTTAACTATAAAGGTCTGGAGGTCTGTGCAGACAGATAGGAAGTCATGTAGCTGGGCAGAGAGAGGAAATGAGATGGCAAAACAGGCACATAGACATGGGTATACAGGAAACAGGGCTCTTTGGAGACTAAGGTATTGATAAGGTGAGTTTGTCTGTGGCTTTTCCTATTCCTCTGATCTCTCAGATTTTTACCCCAATATCTGGCTCCAGGTTTTTTATTAATAAGACCATTTAGCAATTCATCTTACATTTGGTGGCCTAATGTTTGTGGCAAGAATTCACTAAAAAGATGCTTGTGGCCTTACAGGCCTCTAGCTCAGGCCCGAGTTGCATGGCTCAGGCCTGAACTACACATGGCTAGAGTTTCTTTGGCTTTTTCTCTCCTGGTGGGTGGTGGGCTCTCTCTGGATTCCCATCTCAGACTGCTACCACACTAGGTAGCTGCTTTGAAATTCCCTCACACTTCTACTCTTCTACATAGTCAACAGACTTGATGAGTCAATTAAGATATCTTGAAGGGAGGAATTAGTTAAAAGAGAATTTTTTCCCCACATTAAAAAATGGGAAACATTTTTATAATTGAGGGAATTTGGTCTCTGTTTGATAACACATTAGGCAGTCTGAAAATAGAACAATTAAATGAAAAGATAATGTTGATGGGATTTACATAACATCAATTATGAATTTTTTTTGATCATTTTTATTTTAGCATTAAAAAGGTTGGTCAATTTGAGTGACAAGATAAAAGTTTTAGAAAAACCTGTTAAAATGGTTTAGAGAGAAATTCAGACCCAGACAGAAGAACGTAAAGGTGAACCTATCTCAACATTGAATTATATGATTACAGAGAAACAGCCTAAGGTTTCCAGACAGCAAACATTAATCTACCGGGTAACCTTATAGGAAATGCCAAATGTTCAAGGGTATGTATGAGCTAACTGGACTCCAGGGGAAATGTTAGATTTGAGGAGATTTAAGAAGCTATAGTATCATATGGTATGCATTCTCCATTTGTAAATCTCATGGTCAACTTGTAATAGAATTATGCCTCAGGACTGGAAAGATTGGAGAACCTGGTTTAAAGAGGAGGATAAAACTACAGAACAATGATGTAGGACTAGAGGCGTGGACATTTCCTAGGATCAACTTTTTGGAGAAGGTGATTATGCTGATATACAAATACAATGTTTATGTGATAACCAAATCCTAATTCTATGCCACATGGCAGCCATGAATGTGTAGGACAGAATTGAACAAGCAGAGAAGATAATTGAGTCATTTACAAAAGTTATAAGGACCCAAAAGAAACTTTCACAGATTTCTTACAAAGGCTGTCTTCAACAGTAAATAGAAGGATGCAAAATTCAGAAGCTAGACAGATAATTGAATCTTTAGCTTTTGGGAACACTAATGCAGCATGAAGAGGGTAGTTAGGCTGTTAAAGGCAAGATCAGCACCCTTGGAGGATTGGATGAGGGATACAATTAATATTGAATCTTATGTCCATGATGATAGGAGAGGTGATTTCAAGAGGGTTGAAGAATAATAATGTCAGATGCTTTAATTGTGGCAAACAAAGTCACCTAAAAAGGGACTGTAAATAGGGCATTCCCAGAAACAATGTTTCTTCAAGGAACAATGGCAACAGAAAGCCCCTCCCTTCTAGATTATGCAGGTGTGATAAAGGCAAACAATGGACTAACTAATGTAGATCAACAAGGGACAGACAAGGTAATCCTTTGCCTTTGCCATTGGGAAACTCCTTGAGGGGCCTCCCACAGGCCCCATGGCAAATCCAGTTCAGTCCTTTCCTGCCATCATAGGAGAAAACCCTTCTCAGAGTAATTAAATAACCAAATGCCTATTGTAATAAACCATACTGCTCAGGATGATAGAACAGCTATAGCAGAGAAAACAGGAACTTCAGGAGAAACCATAAAGCAAATTTTTTTTAGCAAACTTCTATAAATGAACAAAGACCAAAATTAAAAATACAAATAAATGACGTTCTCATGGAGGGTCTTGTAGACATAGGTGGGGACATCACAATTGCACCAGAATCTTGGCATCCAAATTGGCCTCTTCAGGAGGTAAATGTTCAGCTTTTAGAGGTTGGAACATTATCTCAAGTGAAACAGAGTGCAAGAAGGGTCGAATGTATAGGGCCAGAAGGACAGAGAAGAAAATTAAAGCTATATGTGGCTAATATAGCTAAGAATTTATGGGGCCATGATCTATTATAACAATGTAACAACATTCCTCCAACCTCAGAAACAAGCCATAAACTAAGACATGTTTCTGAGAGAAATATTAGAAGGTATTATAAAGAACAGTCACTGGCCATCCAGATTGTACACGAACATGGCACAACAGCTGCTGATCTTCCAAACACACCAACAGCCATACCTTTAAAATGGTTAACAGATGAGCCTGTATGGGTTCAGCAATGGCCTTTAACAATAGAGAAACCACAGGCCTTGGAAAAGCTGGTACAAGAGCAGTTAAATGCTCAGCATATTGAAGAATCAACCAGACCTTGTAATTCTCCAGTATTTGTTATTAAAAAGAAATCTGGTAAATGGAGAATGGTAACAGACCTAAGAGCAATTAACAAGGTAATTTAGCCAATGGGCTCTCTACAATCTGGAATTCCTTTGCCTACTTTGTTACCTAAAGGATGGCCTCTTACAGTTATCAATTTAAAAGACTGTTTCTTCTCATTACCCTTACAAGAAAGACAGAGACGGGGAAAGGAGAGGACAGGCAGAGAGGAGATGCCAGCCACAGCCATGAGAAGCAAGATGTGAAAGTACCAGTAAGCCACAGCCACATGGCAACTTATAGATTAATAAAAATGGGTTAAGTTATAAGAGCTAGCTAGCGAGAAGCCTGTCTTAAGTCATACAATTGGTAATTAATGTTAAGCCTCTGAATGATTATTTTGTAAGCTGCCATGGGATCTTGGGGGCCAGGCAGGACCAGAGGAAAGTGGGACCATGGGGCCTGTGAAGGACCAGAGAAATCTTCTGACTACACAATCCTGTACAATAAAGCAACTACTGGAGGCATCACCATCCCTGACCTCAAGCTCTACTACAGAGTTTGGTATTGGCATAAAAACCAACATGTGGACAAATGGAATCAAATTGAAGACACTGACATTAATCCACACAACTATGAATGCCTGATCTTTGACAAAGAAGCCAAAACTATACAATGGAAAAAAGAAAGTGTCTTCAACAAACGGTGCTGGCACAACTGGATGTCAACATGTAAAAGATTGCAAATAGATCCATATCTATTGCCAAGCACAAAACTCAAGTCCAAGTGGATCAAAGACCTCAACATAAATCCTGTTGCACTGAACATGATAGAAGAGAAAGTAGGAAGTAGTCTTGAACACATTGGCACAGGAGACCACCTCCTAAATATAACACCAGTAGCACAGACACTGAGAGCAACAATTAATAAATGGGACCTCCTGAAACTAAGAAGCTTTTGTAGGACAAAGGACATGGTCAGTAAGACAAAACAACAGCCTACAGAATGGGAAAAGACCTTCATCAACCCCACATCTGACAGAGGACTGGTCTCCAAAATATATAAAGAACTCAAGAAATTAGACAGCAAAATACCAAACAATCCAACTTAAAAAATGGGCTACAGAGCTAAACAGAGAATTCTCAACAGAAGAATCTCAAATGGCTGAAAGACATTTAAGGAATTGCTCAGCATCCTTAGTCATCAGGGAGATGCAACTCAAAACAACTCTGAGATACTATCTTACACCTGTCAGAATGGCTAAGATCAAAAATACTAATAACAGTATTACTATGTTGGAGAGGATGTGGAGCAAGGGGAACACTCTTCCACTGTTGGTGGGGATGCAAACTCGTACAGTCACTTTGGAAATCATTATGGTGGTTTCTCAGAAAATTGGGAATCAATCTACCTCAAGACTCAGCTATACCACTCTTGGGCATATACCCAAGGGATGCTCAATCATCCCTCAAGGACACAAGCTCAACTATGTTCATAGCAGCATTATTTGTAATAGCCAGAACCGAGATGCCCCTCAATTGAAGAATGGATAAAGAAAATGTGGTACATATACCAATGGAGTACTACTCAGCAGCAAAAAACAATGACATCATGAAATTTGCAGGCAAAGAGATGGAACTAGAAAATATCACCCTGAGTGATAATCTAGACTCAGAAAGACAAACATGGTATGTACTCACTCATAAGCAGATACTAGATGTAAAGCAAAGTATAACCAGATTACAACCCACAGCTCCAGAGAGGCTAGCTAACAAAGAGGACCCTAAGAGGGATGCATAGATCACCCTGGGAAAGGGAAATAGATGAGATCTCCATGAGTAAACTATGTTGGGTGGGGGCAATAGAGGGTAGGGGATGGGGGGTGAGAACATAAGGGAACAGAATGGTCCAGCTGTAACAGGGACAGCATGGGAGAGCAAGGAAAGAGATACCATGATAGAGGGAGATATCATGGGGATAGGAAGAAATCGGGTGCTAGGGAAGTTCCTAGGAATCCATAGGGATGACCCTAGCTTAGACTGCTAGCAATTGGTGGAAAGGGTGCCCGAACTGGCTTACCCCAGTAATCAGATTGGTGAATGCCCTAACTGTCATCATAGAGCCTTCATTCAGTAACTGATAGAATCAGGTGCAGAGATCCACAGCCAAGCGCCAGGCCAAGCTCCAGGAGTTCAAAGAGAGACAAGAGGGATTCTATAAGCAAGGGGCATCAAGATCATGATGAGGAAACCTATAGAGACAACCAAACCAAACTAGTTGGAACTCATGAACTTTAGACCAACAGCTGTGGAGCCTCCACTGGACTGGACTAGGCCCTCTGCATAAGAGACAGTTGTGTAGCTTGATCTGCTTAAGGAGACCCCTGGCAGTAGGATCAGGATCCATCTCTGGTGCATAAGCTGGCTTTTTGGAGCCCACTACCTCTGGTGGGACACCTTGCACAGCCTTGATGCAGGGAGAGGGGCTTGGACCTTCCTCAACTGAATGTACCAGGCTCTGCTGACTCCCCATGGGAGGCCTTACCTTGTCAGAGGAGGGAATGGGGGTTGGGTTGGAGGGGGATGCTGGGGGACAGGAGGAGGGAAAAGAGGGGAATCTCTGGTTGTTATGTAAAAATGAATAAAAAATTTCTTAATAAAAACAAAAGGAAGAAGCACATTCCAAATAAAGACACAAATGGCTAGAGATAAAAGAACAGGATAGACAACACCAGCACTAAAAGACAAAACAATCCTCTCGCATAATCATAGTAGTGTAGACAAAATAGACTGAAGGGCCTGTAACAGGCACACTCACTATTAGTAGCTCAAGTATGCAATCTCTCAATTTGGCAAGAAGAGAAGTATTTCACACCTCACTCGTGTGAAATCTACCCCACAAGGAATCTGTCATGACAGTGGACATCCCACCTTTGAGAAGGCAGGATTGAGCACTTTGGTGGCATCACATGGAGTTAACAACCAGTTTCCCAAAAAAGGGTTTCAAAGATTTAATAAAAGCAAGTGTCCATGAGCAGGTGCACAGCAAGGAACTAGAGGTGACATGCCACCCATCTGTAAGGCACACCCTTGGTGTGACTCTATCCAAGCACAATGTGACAACAATCAAGAGGTTAAAGGGGTTTGGAAGCTCATTGCTTCTAGAAACTATTTCATTTTGCTCCAGAATTTATCAGAGAAAAACTTTAAATTTGGGAGTTCCAGAAATGAAGAAAAAGATGCCGGCATCCAATCCAAGTAAGGAAGGTTACTTTAATAGTGTTCTGTTCTTTCAATCCCTTACTGAAAAGTCTACTCTTCAACAGGTCTAGGGTTGCGGGTGGGGCTCAGTGATAATGTGCTTGCCTAGCCATGCACAAGGCCCTGTGTTGATTCCCATGACCAATCAAAAATATTAGTCCCCAGCCACGAAGTCCTACAAAATATAACCCAAAGCTGCTCAGACTTCAGATAAATATGGGACAGCTGAGCACAGATTGCCAAAAGTGAATCTATGAACCTGGTCATCCACCCTCTGTCCCCCGACATGGGAGGGGCAGAGATTCCCACAGCCCTCACATGTGACCAATTTTTATTCATACTGATTCAGTTTATTGGTAAATGTGTTCATAACTCTTTGAAGAGGGAAGAGGGGGGAAAGATGGCTCAGTAGTTTGAAAGCACTTGTTGCTCTTGCACAGGTCCTGGCTTTGGTTCCCTGTAGTGGGTAGCTGTTCCAGCTTTGACCTGGAAGTACTACCCCCACTGAGGCTTCAGTAACTGTCACACTTACAAGGCAGGGCTGAGACAGGAGCCCTTAAGACCCGAGATCCGGATGTGCCGGCTCTCTTGGTTCCTGGATCCTGGATGCTGGAGGTAGATCGAGCAGAGTTCTCCAGAGAATACTGCTGGACTCTGCTACACCTTTCCCAGACCCTGTAACCTCTCCCTTTACTTGTAAGTTACCCCACCAAATAAACCTCCCTTTTAACTACATGGAGTTGCCTTAAAACTACAGTTCCCCAAATCCACACTGAGCAGTTCAAAACCACCTGTAACTCTTCTGACACCCTCTTCTGGCCTCTGCAGATGCCTACATGAACATGGTGCACATATATACATCCAGGTAAAACATTCACATATTTATTCATAAATCTAAAATAGTAATAACAACAAAAATTATTTGGAAAAGGACTTCCCTTTTGTACTAAGTGTATGTCCAACATGTCACACATTTACATACACAAGCCATCACTATCCACCCTGACTTCAAAAAGAAGCAGGAACCTGAATACTGTCTAGAACTGGATGCAGGAAATAACCTGTGTCCACCTTTGACCACTACTACAAAGTATCTTGTTCTCTGTGAAATTCAATGGTAGTTCCACATATTGAGGCTTTAGCTTTTTGCAATCATTTCACCAGTTGAATGGGGCTTGTTTTTGTTTTGTGTTTTTTCTTTTTAAAAAGTTTAGTAAGAACTAAACACTCAAAGATGCCACATAAATATGTAAGAGCACTCAAGTTCCTCTGAGAGCCCTCTACTGGCTATTTCATGTTGAATATTTCTTAATTAAAAAATAAAATTGGTCACACACAAAAAAAATTGGAAACAGCAAAGATTTTTCAGGAACTTCCTGCTCTAACTCTGCTGCCTCACCTGTTTCTCTCTGGTCTGCTTGCTGCCCTGGGTCCGAATCAGCTGACAGGCATACTCCCATTACTTTTTCTTGGAAAGCAGGCAGGCAGATCCTGCTCTGATCTGTCTTGCTCTAGGTTGCTTCCATTTATTTCATTATTATTTGCAAAGTTTCTATTATCTAAATTATGACTTCTTTCCTGGATTAATATTTTGGAGATAGTCCTAAATATGGGCTATCAAAGGCATACCAAGCCTTTAAAATAAGATGTAATTTCCAGGGGAGTAATTAGAGGCAGAAGTATTGAGCCATGCCCAGTTATTACAAAGTACTTCCCCAACGGAGTAAGCTATGAACACGTCAGGACAAGATGCATTGCCCACAGAGTTCTAAAGGCAGAATTCATCCCCACATTCAATCTTTTTAGTATTTCTATTTCCTCTGCAGAATCTCTTAGACTACTCTGTACCTTTCACTGTCCCTGTAGGCAACAATCCTCTATGTAAATCTTGGAAAATAAAGTATCTGCCCACATGACTGGGTTTCTGAAATCCCTTATCCTCCTCTAATTTTATGGTGATAAGTCAGTCTACAATAGAGTTGACTGCAAACAGTAGCAGAGACAGATGAGCTGAAGGGGTTTTTGACACCTGAAAACAAGTCAATAAAGATTGGCCTATGACAGCCTGGACTACCAAGTGAGTTCCAGGAAAGGCGCAAAGCTACACAGAGAAACCCTGTCTCGAAAAACCAAAAAAAAAAAAAAGTTTGGCCTATGAGAAACATCATGCATTGAAGGGTATGATTATGCTAAACAAAATGACATCAGTGGAAAGACATGAAATGTCAAAGCTTGGGAATAGGAACACACAGCAGATACAGTCAATAAAGATCAGAAATATTTGAATTTAAAGTGAGTGTCTCTACCAGTGTTTCAGTCTAGCAGATAAGATTGGAGAAACCCTTGCTGTGACATATTCACACAAGACCCTGAGCAGAACTCAAATAAAAGTACCTGGTAGTGAGAAAGCAGGCAGGGTCAGTGGTGAGGCAACAAGAATGATGTGGTTTCATTTCCACTTGGCCAAAAGTTGACTGATCCTCAATCACTTTTGATCTTCAATCCAGGGTCCAGGACTCAAGACCAGGTAAATAAGAATGGAGACAGGCAGGATAGCCCTGCTTCAACCTTGATGCCCTCTCCTACTCTTGACCTTTCAATTGTGATTTCTTAGATCACCCCAAAACTTAGCCCTTGCTAGCCTAGCTGGTGGTCAGTGAAGTAGAGGATCTGATGGAGGATATAAATATGAGATGACATGTCTTAGTCATGCCGATTTGCTGTTTAGCTTTATGTTTAAAGAACAAAAAAAAAATGAACACTCCATCATAAAAGTAAAACAAGAAAAATTTAAATATATGTTGTGAAGGAAAACATGAAAAATAAAACCTGAGCAGAAATTCACTGTCGTATCAGAAATTTAAAGTTACTGCTTGTCACTTGTGGATGTATAATGATCCTCGGAACCTGTAAAGGGACTAGAAGCGTGTATTAGTTACTTCTCTCACTGCTGTGAGAAAATGCCTAACAGAAGCAACTAGGTACCACTTCATACCTGTTACAAAGGTTAAAACTGAAAACAACAAATTTTGTAAGAGTGTGAAGCAGTTAAATACTCTCACTGTTGATGTTAAGGAAAAATAGGACAGTCAGGATGACAGTTTTGTCTTTTCATTTCTCTCAAACTAGATATACTGTGTAAATAATCATATTCCTTGGGGCGTAACCAAATGAAGTGAAAACTATGTAAACACAAAGCCTTCATACAGATTATCATAAAAGCCTTACTAATAATTGTCAAAACTTGAAAGCAAACAAAATGTTCTTCAGTCATTTGAATGGATAAACAAACTAGTATATCTAGACAATGGAAATATTATTAAGCATTAAAAAGAAATGAACTAATAACCCATACATAGTCACAGTTCAATGCATATTATTAAGTTAAAGAGGCCTACCTGAAAAGGTTATATGCTATTCAGTTACAATTATATGAGCTCCTGGGAAAGGTAAATCTTCAAAAACAGTGAAAAAAAAGTGGTTGCCAAGGGATGGAGCACAAAGATTGTTTAGGATCATAAAATTATTCTTTATACATATTTATTATACATTTGTCAAGCCTGTAGAATTTATACAACTCAAATTGAACCCTAATATCAATTTAAGATCTGGGTGACGATAGTTTTAATGGTACAGATGTTAATAGTACTGTGTGCATGTGTGGGAACTCTATATTTTCTTTTTTTTTCCTTTTATTGAAAATATTTTCTCATATATCCTTATTATCATTTCCCCTCTCTCTACTCCTCCCAGATCCTTCCTACCTCCACTTCCCTCTTGTTCCACTCCTTTTCTATCTTTCATTAGAAGACGAAGCAAATCTATCATATCAAAGTTGGACATGGCAACCCAACTAGAGGAAAAGTCCCAAGAGCAGGCACAGGAGTCAAGAGACCCACTCGTTCTCATAGTCAGGAGTCCCATCAAAACACTGAGATAAAAGCTATAATATGTACACAGAGGACCTCCTGTGCTTGCTGCTTCAGTCTCTGTGAGTTCATATGCACCTTGCTTAGCTGATTCAAAGGGCTGTGTTCTGGTGTCCTCCATTTCCTCTGGCTCTTACAATCTCCACTGGATTCTCTGAGCTCTGAGGGGAAGGATTTGATGGAGACCTCCCATTTTTATTCTATCTCTGCATAATGTCTGGCTGTGGGTCTCTACATCTATTCCCATCTGTTGCCAGAGAAAGCCTCTATGATTATTCAAGTTGTAAGACTGAGCTGCAATAATAAAAACTGCATGGTATTGGCATAAAAACAGACATGTTGATCAATAGAGTCAAATTGAAGACCCAGGCATAAATCCACACACATATGGACACATAAGCCAGAAACATATACTGGAAAAAAAGACAGCATCTTCAACAAATGGTGCTGGTCAAACTGGATAGCTGTATGTACAAGAATCCAAACAGATCCATAACTATCACCCTGCACAAAACTCAAGTCCAAGTGGATCAAACATTTCAAAATAAAACCAGATAAACTGAACCTGACAGAAAAGAAAGTGGGGAATAGCCTTGAATGCCTTAGCACAGAAGATACATTTCTGAACAGAACACCAATAGCACAGGCACTAAGATCAACAATTAACATATAGAACTTCATGAAATTGAAAAGCTTCTCTAAGGCAAAGGACACAGTCATTCGAACAAAGCAGCAACCTACAGAATAGGAAAAGATTTTTACCAGCTCAACATCTGATACAGAATATCCAAAAAAAAAAAGAAAGACAAAAGAAACTCAAACTAGATACCAAAAAACCAAAT